GTAACCATGACGACCAGTCATATCAAGCTTGCGGTTTTCAACCAAAAATATTCAAATCATTCAAGAAGGCTTTATGTCAGTTACGAGTCTATGTCGACTCTTCGAGTGAGGTAAAAGCTGATATGGTTGAAGTCAGTCCAAGGATTAGGAATGAAACTGTTGTCTTGCCAAGTGGGGAGGTCACCTTTCGTGACTATATCTGCAATGATAGATGTGACAGAGGAGATTGTGAAGACGAGGCCCATTGCAACGGTCTCATTTATGGACAATACTGTAATAAGGGTGGTACTGGAAATATCACTTACATAAAACCTGAGTATATTTGCACATGGGGCCATGAATATGAATGTTGTAAATTTAGAGATTGGGACCCGGTATCTCCGTTATTCGTCCCTTATTATAATTGTAGTGATGTGATGATATGCGATCCTAGTACATCGTCAGAAAAGAATCTGTGCGATAAACATATTGCTGGAAATACTTTTTCGGACGACCCGTTATACAATAGAATTCCTGTTTTTAACTTTACAAGTTGCACTCCAACAACTTTATGCAACAACTACGCCGATCAATTTAACTGCACAGAACAGCTAAGGGTTGGTGTGACCTGTGAAATTCATGGTTACTTATCAACTGTATCAAAATACTTGGTTTGTGGAGAACAAACATTCTGTGATGATTACATCGATAGTGTGTGTGAACAAGTTTCTCCATCCTGTAGGGTACACAAACACAAACTTTGTAACGGAGTGATAGACTGTGACGATGGAAGTGATGAAAACATTCTTATCTGTCGAGTGAAAACCTCAAAATTTTGTTTGAGACGAGGTGGAAACGGTACTTTTAGTTTACCACTTCCTCTTGCATGGCTAGGTGATGGAGAAGATGATTGTATGGACGGTGAAGATGAGAAAGAAATTTGGCCCGTTTGTGGAATCGGTCAAACCAGAAGATATGTGATTGACAATAGCACTTGTAAAAACGTGTTTCTGTGCAGTACTGGAAAACCAGGATTTGTTGAATTCAGTAAACTCTGTGACGGAATTGAAACATGCGGAAATGAAAATAGAATCTGCCGAGAGTCAAGGGGTTCAATTGCTGTCGCGAAAAAGGTTATTACCCATAACCAAGGACTTGCTAAGCGATTGTCTTACTGCTTAAACGGCTTACAGAAAATTGAGAAAATATCTCATTATTGCAGTTCTGAGCAATTCATCTTTCCAAATGGAGATATTTTTGGGTTAGAAAAATCAACAATAACTTTACCAAATATCAAAACCAATTGCGATCACATGTTCGGCGAAATGTATTTATACACTAGTTGCATCGGCAAATGCATCAACTCTTCCTGCCCACTGAAAGAAGTCCCCAAATACAATTCTTGTCCCGGCCAGTATCCAGACAGAGCAGGAACCATAGTCAACAACGAGTACCTCACATTTGCTGTTCAATCGAAAGGGAAAAACAGCAGCGTGTACACAAACAATATCTTTGTTTGTGACAATGGAATAAGATGCGTCTCTTATTCCCAGGTGTGTGATCTAGTTGATGATTGTGGAGATGGATCAGATGAAGAACGCTGCACTAATCACTTCCAATGTAACACTTCCAAACATTACATACCCAAAACAAGCAAATGTGACGGCAAGTTAGATTGCTTGGATTCATCAGACGAATGCAATGATGACTGTTCAAAAGAAATACTTGTCGGAGTTGTACTAAAGGGCCTCTCTTGGACGATCGGTCTTTCAGCAGTTCTCGCAAACTTCGTTATAATCACTGTCAGTATCTTATCATTGAAGAAGTGTAGAACCACTGTAGCACTGACAAATAAATCATTAGTTATCATGATAAGTATAGGTGATCTTTTAGTTGGATCGTATCTCTTAGCAGTGTCTTCGTTTGATGGAATAGTCTATGGTAAGGGATATTGCAAGAAGCAGACTATTTGGCTTTCAAGCAGTGAATGCTCCATTCTTGGTGTCACTAGTACCATCGGATCCCATCTTTCCCTGTTGGCAATGACTGTGTTGAGTTTGACGAGGGTTCATGGCATCTGGAACTCAATGAGGATTCCAGGAGGGGTTTCAATAAAGAATTCTGTCAAAGTTATTGCAGTGAATTTTATCATACTTTTCTTATCAGCTACAGTGGCATCCATTCCTATTATGAAGTATTTTGACGATTTCTTCGTCAATGGAATACGATATGACGTTGAACCGCAACTTTTCGTTGGCTTGGTTAATAAAGAGACCCACTCAAGAGTGTTTAAAGAATACTTCGGACGCATGGATGATCGGATTCTAGGTTGGGATACAATCGATAGTATGGTGTCCGATATGTTCTCCCACGATCCTAATATAGCAGTGGACTTCACAAAAACTCGAACGAAAGTAGGATTCTACGGGAACGACGGGGTGTGCCTATTCAAATACTTTATACGAAAGACAGATCCACAACAGGCCTTCGTATGGAGTATTCTTATATTGGACTTCATCTGTTTTGTGGTGATATCAGTGTGCTACATCATTATCAGCATACTGTCTACCAGATCTTCCAATAATGTGACTTCCAGAAGAGGCGACGTGCAAGCTCGTCAAAGAAACAGACGAATGAACCAAAGGATTTCCATAATAATCACAACTGACTTTCTCTGCTGGGTGCCATTTATTGGTATCTGTATGGTTCATTATCTGGAGATCCTTGATGCTACATCATGGTATTCAATCTTCTCCATGGTTATTCTGCCTATCAACTCTGTGATCAACCCACTTCTTTACAACGACATTTTCATGGGAAAAGTAAGGGTATTCTTATCACGGGGTAGCACTATAATAACAAACACTGTTTCAACCCTACGGTCTCAACTAAGTGTTGCGCAAGTGGCTACACCCCAGGAAAACGTCGAAATGCAGGATATATAGTTTATAATCTTATCAATGTTGCAGTTGAGTATGATGTATACAAATATGAACAGCTGAATTTATCTACAAACTTATTTTGTATAAAGTTATAGTGTTTTCTCACGATTATGGAATGTAATCCCAACACATATGCACACCATCGAGGATCCTATGCAATTCAAAGCAGCTTTAACGAACTTTGTGAAGTCATTTCCGGACGAGCCTCCAGCTCCAGGATACAGCCGTCGGAATGGAAACTCCTTGCTGGATTGGAGTGGTGATAAAACAGTTTCTACACTGTCCGGGGGGGGGGGGGTCGAATTTTTCGATGGCTCGATAGAGGTTTCTATGAAGCCCTACAAAGTAACAAAGTAAGTAACGGAAGTTATCAGACCTTATCACAACCTTATAGTTATAATATTACACAACTTTTTGAAATAAATTATAAATAATCTGGTGTCTCACGTATTTTTTCTCCTAGAGAAGGGTGAATATCCAGTTTAGTGCCACTAAATGTTACTGGACTATATTTACTGCAACAACAAAAACTATTGATTTTATAACTCCATTCTATCCTTGCTGTGAGTTGCAACTTTATGACAGGTACTCCTATCTTTACTTTATAAAGGACCAATGACTATAGTCATTAGCCATAGTCTAATGACTAGGGTTATATGACGGTCTAGTTAAACTATTAATCAAGCTGTTTGCTGATAACAATAATACTGGACTGCTATTACTTTATTGCGATAAAACATATCATTATTTTAAGCCGGGTTAAACGTATTTCCCTTTGTGAAGAGACACTGTATAGTAGGACTTACCGATATAATTATACTACTGGAGAATAATGTAAATAATGTGACTAACCACGTTGTATTGTTCTAGGCGTGCTTCAATTATATTATATAATATGACAATTGGAATCATCGACTCCTATTTTTAATTTATAAAGGACTCAATAGGTTCAATAGGTAGGTTTAATGAATGGTCTAATTAAACGACCAATCTGTTTACTGGTGAAAGTAATACTGGACCGTTGTTATTATATAACATACTATTGTCAATTTGTTATACAGATGATTTAAAGGAGTTCCAATTTGCAAATTTTCGTCTGTTCACTGCTCCTCGATTTGGCTCTTTCTATAATTAGTCTCAATAGACCTCACCTTTTTGTTTTTTATAGAACCTGTCCCCAATCTCGTATTGGAAAATGACTAAACTCGATTCTGAGTGTAGATAAAAATAAATCCTTCGGCTTCCTGTAATTGGCTGGTTGCACTTGTGTAACAATGTGGCTGTTGGAATACACCGAAGTAAAATAAGTGTCTTGATTTTAAAAAATACGGGTGGTACCTGCAAGTTTGTTCATTAAGCATTTAGAGTTCTGTAAAACTTTAATTACAATTGTGCTTGAGTATTTTTAGTATTAACGATCGATATCAGATCTCTATCACTACATTTGATGGGCGACGGGAGGCTCACTGACCCCCGCGGATCTCAATTATTGGATCACATAATTGTCTCCTAACTCTAAACCTCAGGAAAAGAGAGGTGCAGAGAATCAGTGACTCCCCCGGCTGTGGAGTGAACAGTAGCTAAAGAGGTATTGGCCGTTTGCCTCTGACCTTGTTTCTATGACCCAGGTAAACTGGACCACGCTCTGGTAACAGGATCGGCCCCCCATGCCTGGGGTAACGAGGTAGTCAGGGGAAGGTTAGCTCCCGTAAAAGTGGAGCCTTGGCTCACACTCTAATCTCCCTAAGCTTTGGGACAAAAGCGTATAGTCATTTATTGGAATTGGTGAAGAAAGAAGAAATAATACAACGACAGGACATCATCACAAAACCCACTCTCACTGATTAGTAGCAACAAAACGTGTACTAGCGGAAGTTGTTACTCACGTGGCCAAGATGGATAAGTCATTTAACGCTTAAGTGGCGCCCGGCGTTAAGTAGGTGTCTCACTTTGCCTGATGTGCAGGGGACTGCGCATGAGACACAAGCCATTGAAAAGTTTGATGATGTCTTATAATAACACTAGGGTTAAAGTCCCTACCACTGATTTAGATGTCGGAGGGGACCGGAATCGGGAATGATGACTCTCTCGACTCTCACCCTAAAACTCCCTAGGAGAGGGGTGACAGATGATATGCCGGCTCCTTCACCCGGCACAAAAAATAACATAAAACACCAAAAAAAGGATGGGGATGCATTGGTTTCTTGTAGTGAGGTAGCTCTAGTAGGGACATTTAATGTCCGAACTGCTAGAGAAGGTTACAAGCGCCTTGAACTCGTGAGTCAGTTTCTGGAGAGTGGCATGGAGATCCTTGGGATCCAAGAACATAGGATTGTCCACCAGGAGCCGATCAAGATCGAAAAGTTCAAGGAGGGGGTTAGCTTGGTAAATGTTTCAGCATGGAGGAATGGAGCAGGAGCAGCCACTGGTGGAGTGGGATTTCTGCTGACTAGAAGAGCATACAGCGCAATCAGCCTCATTAAACCCTATGGCTCAAGGGTGCTGACTATCTCTTTCAACGGGAATCCCAGACTCACAACTATAACTGCTTATAGTCCTACCGAGGCAGCATTAGTTGAAGAAGCGGAGGATTTCCATAACACCCTTAGACAGGCTATGAACGATGTGCCAGCGCACCACCTGCTGATCACAGAGGGAGATATGAACGCCCGGCTTGGAAAGGAGAGTGAAGAAGATTCCCGTTGGTACTTTCATACTCGTACCAATCGGAATGGAGAGCTACTGAGAGACACTGCCCTGGAGTGTGATATGGAAATTACCAATATCCGCTTCAGAAAGAAGGTCAACAATAGGTGGACCTTCTTATCCGATGGGACACTTAACAAAGGTCAGATTGACTATATCCTCATACGGCGGAAGTGGAAAAACTCATTAAAGAACACTGAAGTTTACAACACTTTTCAGTCGTTGGGATCTGATCACAGAGTTGTAGTGTGTAAGATCAAAGTTAGCTTTATAGGAAAGGACACAGGCCTCCGAAAAAGTTAACTATGATTATAGTGCCCTGAAGTCGGATGGTGAGCTTTAAAAAAGTATGCAATTGAAGTTCGGAATAGATCCTCTGGCCTGGTAGAGGAGGATGATGGGGCCACTGAAAGCTACGGGATGCTTATGGTTGCTATTGAGGCGGCAAACAAGAGCCTTCTGCCAAAGAAGACTCGACAAAAGCAGAATGACCCCTCAAGTGACCCAAGAGTGGACAGTGCAAGGAGGGGACTGTTCTTGGCCAAGGACCAATACCATCAGGAGCCTTGTGAGGAGAAGAGAGAGGAAGTCGCCACTAAAAAGGATTTTTTAAAGGCCTGCTACAAAGAGGTAGAGGAGGAGATCCTGAAAGGAAAGATCAGGAAAGTTGAGGATACTGCTGATCGTTGTAAGAACAAGGAAAGCTGGAAGCTTGTCAACGATATTTCAGGGAGGACAAATCCCAGCTGTGGACTCGTGGAAAGGGGCAGCTCAACAGAACGTCTCGAGAACTGGAGGAAGCACTTCTCTGGGTTACTAGGACAGCCACCCACAGTCCCTGACAATAGTATTCCGATCAGGAATATACACCCTCCACTGAATATAGAGGATGGCCCGTTCACCATTGAGGAACTACGTCTTGTCAAAAAGCAGATAGTAGAAGGCAAAGCTTATGGTGATGATGGTATCTCACCTGAAGTGATGAAGAGGGTGGACATCGATGACGTCATCCTGAAGTTCTGCAACGATGCACTATGTGATGGTCTCTTGCCCGATCAATAGAAGCTCAGTAATATTGTTCCTGTGCCAAAGAAAGGGGACCTCACTAAGACCGACAACTACAGAGGAATATCTCTGACATCGATAGTCAGTAAAACTCTGAACAACATGTTGCTAAACAGGATGAAGCCAAGTCTTGAGGAAGTTTTAAGGGACAACCAGAATGGCTTTAGACCTGGGCGCTCTACACCATCGCACATTCTTGCTCTACGAAGAATTATGGAGGGTAGTAGAGCCAAAAACCTTAAGGCCACCATGGTTTTCATTGATTTCAAAAAGGCGTTCGATAGTGTGCATAGTGGTTTGCTCATGAAGATATTGAAAGCATATGGCATACCAGAAGCCATAGTGCGGCTCATTGAGGGTATCTATACGAGCACAAAGGCTAAAGTAGTTACAGCCGATGGTATAACAGATATTTTTGATATCCTGGCTGGAGTACTGCAAGGAGACACTCTTGCCCCGTACTTGTTCATTATCGTGATTGACTATATCATGACAGTGGCTATAGACGATGATGACTCGGACTCTGGGTTCACTCTCAGGCCTGCACGGAGTAGAAGGATTGGTGCCGAGAAGATCGCAGACGTCGAGTTTGCAGATGATGTTACCCTTATCACTGATACCATTAAAGGGGCAAAACTACTCCTGGACAGGCTTGAGAAAGCAGCACTGATTGTTGGGCTAGCCATGAACGGCACTAAAACTAAGTTCATGACTCTGAACATGACAGAGGAGGCGAGTAGTCTTAATAGCTGTTCTGGAAACCAGCTGGAAAAGGTGACAGACTTTGTTTACCTTGGAGCATGGATAGCAACAACAGAGAGGGACCTGCGGGTCAGAAAAGCTAAGGCTTGGGCAGCCTGCCACAAGCTAAAGAAGATGTGGAAGTCTGACCTTAGAAGAGGACTAAAGATCCGTCTATTTGTTGCTACTGTGGAGTCAATACTTCTTTATGGTTCTGAAACGTGGACGTTGACAGAGCAATTGAAGAAACGCATTGATGGCTGCTACACTAGAATGCTAAGGATGGCACTAAAAGTGGATTGGAAGCAGCGCAAAACCAGCAAAGAAGTCTATGGCAACCTACCGAGAGCAACCATGAAGATCCAAGAGCGCAGGATGCAACTTTTTTAAAAATAGTAGGCCATATCCACCAGCACCCAGAACTAGTCGCAAACCGCTTGCTACTCAGGGAACCAACTCATGGGGTGCGGAGTAGGGGAGACCAGCCATGACTTATGTTGGTAGCATAGCCTACGAGCTGACACGGGTCTCAACGACACTGGAGAAATGGGCGGACTTATGGCGGATAGAGTTCTATGGAGACAGCGCATCAATACTCGGACGCTGAAGCCGCCTTAAGTCAAGTAAGTCATCACCACATGCTTCCAAAATTTCCCACTTTCTGCACTATGGACAGGAATGTTTGAAAAAAAAGTAATAATTTTAGAGAAGTAAAATTAATTCCTTGGTTTGTTAAATCAGCTTTAAAGTCGGAAAATCAAAGTATTTAACGTCGATACCAAACCGATTATTGAGCAATGATAGCTAAATAGTCGATTCCTGGGATACAGAGTCTTTCTGATTCCTAATATAAACCATACAAGTGTCGATTGTGATTTGAGAATTTAACCTTTTAAATTCTTATAACAGTTAATGTTGTATGATAGTTAATTATGATGATTTGCATAATATGTTACAAAGAGTGTTATCTATAATCTGTTGATGGTGGACCAGACGTTTTACCCCCCTGCCATTTCAAACAAGTTTTTACACATCGATGGATTAAGGTTTCGACGAGGTTAGGGTAATATATATCATGGTTAGGTGGGGGCCTAAAACGTTAAGACACATGTGTGGCTAAGTATTTGGGTTGAAATATCACGACAATTTCAGAGAATTAGGTGTCTAACACCAAGCATTGGTGACCAAGTGTGTTGTCTTGTAATTTACACTGAAAGTTTTGCTTTTCCTACAACTGAAAGGCAGTGTTTTATTGATTACGTAATATGTGAACGACCCCAAACTAGAATATCGATTAATTACGTCTTTTTTATTTGTCGCATTGAGCGAGACCCTGAATATCGCTGAACTGCGTCTTAACTACAGAGACCATGATGCTGTAACACCTAGCTGAGGCGAAACCTCAAAACCTTCCAGTTCTGAAATCGGGCACGAATCCAATGAAATTGACCTAGGTTATCTCTTGCATGAGGAGCAGTAGTGGAGATGTGAACAATTGCTACTGTAAATGGACACCCACTCCCATTCGTACACGAATGATAGGCGATTTACTCAAATTCTGCCACCTCATAAACTTCCATGCGCCGCGCATTTAGTTGTGAGACCCACATCCCTATTTACGCAAAACGCGCCGCGTTTTACGCAGACCCAACATTGACACTGTGACGGCCCAAAAAAACTGTCCGGTCAGAATTGTCCGGACAGAATCACTTTCGTGAAGAGTGCGGACAGAGGGCTCCTGAAGATTGCAATCATGTACCGTAAAGAGAGAATATATACAACTGTAAATATCATGTTGAGCAAACAATACTATTTTATGAGACAGCAGTAACCTGTAACTTCTAATCTACAAATTTCAGAAAAAGTTTTGAAATTTGTATTTATGATTTAATCACAGCCACCTGGCCACACAGTCATAGTTAAGTACAGCTTTTCTGAAGCCACGATTTTACTCTTTTTATTTTAAATCCAGGAAGACTAGACGTCTATCATCAAATTGCCGGCGTGGCATATAATATGATTCGTGAATAATTCCAGCAATATTGAGGTCCTCGGAAGTTGTACAAAATATGCAATATACTGAAAAAGGACATTTTATAATGGTGGCAAAATGTATAATTTTATATCAAACAATACTTTTATAGAATTATTTGGAATTGTTTAACAATCATCATCTTCAATTTCGTTTCATACAAAAACTATGTAATAAAGTGGGTATAAATAACCAAATAAATATCCAATAGTTATTTCCGAAGTTATAAACTCAGTCGTCCGTATAAAACAAACTCAAACTGACATTTGCAGTGACTAAAAAATAACAATGTGCACAAAAGGTACCCAAAACCACAATAACATTCCTACTGAAACAGCTCTCACATTGTTAGCACTGCTCATTCTCAAGACATCTCATAGTTCGTCATGTATCTCGTCTTCGTCTTGCACCTTGGTGCATGCAGCAGGTGTAGCGAAGACATACGCATACTCACATTTAGCTGGCTCTGAAGCTGACATGATCTGGTTCTCAGGTCCGCACACTACCTGTTGATAGAGTGCTGTTAGAAATAGTGTAGCTAAGTTGTGGTGTACTTAGTGCTGTTAGAAATAGTGTAGCTAAGTTGTGGTGTACTTAGTGCTGTTAGAAATAGTGTAGCTAAGTTGTGGTGTACTTAGTGCTGTTAGAAATAGTGTAGCTAAGTTGTGGTGTACTTAGTGCTGTTAGAAATAGTGTAGCTAAGTTGTGGTGTACTTAGTGCTGTTAGAAATAGTGTAGCTAAGTTGTGGTGTACTTAGTGCTGTTAGAAATAGTGTAGCTAAGTTGTGGTGTACTTAGTGCTGTTAGAAATAGTGTAGCTAAGTTGTGGTGTACTTAGTGCTGTTAGAAATAGTGTAGCTAAGTTGTGGTGTACTTAGTGCTGTTAGAAATAGTGTAGCTAAGTTGTGGTGTACTTAGTGCTGTTAGAAATAGTGTAGCTAAGTTGTGGTGTACTTAGTGCTGTTAGAAATAGTGTAGCTAAGTTGTGGTGTACTTAGTGCTGTTAGAAATAGTGTAGCTAAGTTGTGGTGTACTTAGTGCTGTTAGAAATAGTGTAGCTAAGTTGTGGTGTACTTAGTGCTGTTAGAAATAGTGTAGCTAAGTTGTGGTGTACTTAGTGCTGTTAGAAATAGTGTAGCTAAGTTGTGGTGTACTTAGTGCTGTTAGAAATAGTGTAGCTAAGTTGTGGTGTACTTAGTGCTGTTAGAAATAGTGTAGCTAAGTTGTGGTGTACTTAGTGCTGTTAGAAATAGTGTAGCTAAGTTGTGGTGTACTTAGTGCTGTTAGAAATAGTGTAGCTAAGTTGTGGTGTACTTAGTGCTGTTAGAAATAGTGTAGCTAAGTTGTGGTGTACTTAGTGCTGTTAGAAATAGTGTAGCTAAGTTGTGGTGTACTTAGTGCTGTTAGAAATAGTGTAGTTAAGTTGTGGTTTACTTAGTGCTGTTAGAAATAGTGTAGCTAAGTTGTGGTGTACTTAGTGCTGTTAGAAATAGTGTAGCTAAGTTGTTGTGTACTTAGTGCTGTTAGAAATAGTGTAGCTAAGTTGTGGTGTACTTAGTGCTGTTAGAAATAGTGTAGTTAAGTTGTTGTGTACTTAGTGCTGTTAGAAATAGTGTAGTTAAGTTGTGGTGTACTTAGTGCTGTTAGAAATAGTGTAGTTAAGTTGTGGTGTACTTAGTGCTGTTAGAAATAGTGTAGTTAAGTTGTGGTGTACTTAGTGCTGTTATAAATAGTGTAGTTAAGTTGTGGTGTACTTAGTGCTGTTAGAAATAGTGTAGTTAAGTTGTGGTGTACTTAGTGCTGTTAGAAATAGTGTAGTTAAGTTGTGGTGTACTTAGTGCTGTTATAAATAGTGTAGTTAAGTTGTGGTGTACTTAGTGCTGTTAGAAATAGTGTAGCTAAGTTGTGGTGTACTTAGTGCTGTTAGAAATAGTGTAGTTAAGTTGTGGTGTACTTAGTGCTGTTAGAAATAGTGTAGCTAAGTTGTGGTGTACTTAGTGCTGTTAGAAATAGTGTAGTTAAGTTGTGGTGTACTTAGTGCTGTTAGAAATAGTGTAGCTAAGTTGTGGTGTACTTAGTGCTGTTAGAAATAGTGTAGCTAAGTTGTGGTGTACTTAGTGCTGTTAGAAATAGTGTAGCTAAGTTGTGGTGTACTTAGTGCTGTTAGAAATAGTGTAGCTAAGTTGTGGTGTACTTAGTGCTGTTAGAAATAGTGTAGCTAAGTTGTGGTGTACTTAGTGCTGTTAGAAATAGTGTAGCTAAGTTGTTGTGTACTTAGTGCTGTTAGAAATAGTGTAGTTAAGTTGTGGTGTACTTAGTGCTGTTAGAAATAGTGTAGTTAAGTTGTGGTGTACTTAGTGCTGTTAGAAATAGTGTAGCTAAGTTGTGGTGTACTTAGTGCTGTTAGAAATAGTGTAGCTAAGTTGTGGTGTACTTAGTGCTGTTAGAAATAGTGTAGTTAAGTTGTGGTGTACTTAGTGCTGTTAGAAATAGTGTAGCTAAGTTGTGGTGTACTTAGTGCTGTTAGAAATAGTGTAGCTAAGTTGTGGTGTACTTAGTGCTGTTAGAAATAGTGTAGCTAAGTTGTGGTGTACTTAGTGCTGTTAGAAATAGTGTAGCTAAGTTGTGGTGTACTTAGTGCTGTTAGAAATAGTGTAGCTAAGTTGTGGTGTACTTAGTGCTGTTAGAAATAGTGTAGCTAAGTTGTGGTGTACTTAGTGCTGTTAGAAATAGTGTAGCTAAGTTGTGGTGTACTTAGTGCTGTTAGAAATAGTGTAGCTAAGTTGTGGTGTACTTAGTGCTGTTAGAAATAGTGTAGCTAAGTTGTGGTGTACTTAGTGCTGTTAGAAATAGTGTAGCTAAGTTGTGGTGTACTTAGTGCTGTTAGAAATAGTGTAGCTAAGTTGTGGTGTACTTAGTGCTGTTAGAAATAGTGTAGTTAAGTTGTGGTTTACTTAGTGCTGTTAGAAATAGTGTAGCTAAGTTGTGGTGTACTTAGTGCTGTTAGAAATAGTGTAGCTAAGTTGTTGTGTACTTAGTGCTGTTAGAAATAGTGTAGCTAAGTTGTGGTGTACTTAGTGCTGTTAGAAATAGTGTAGTTAAGTTGTTGTGTACTTAGTGCTGTTAGAAATAGTGTAGCTAAGTTGTTGTGTACTTAGTGCTGTTAGAAATAGTGTAGTTAAGTTGTGGTGTACTTAGTGCTGTTAGAAATAGTGTAGTTAAGTTGTGGTGTACTTAGTGCTGTTATAAATAGTGTAGTTAAGTTGTGGTGTACTTAGTGCTGTTATAAATAGTGTAGTTAAGTTGTGGTATACTTAGTGCTGTTAGAAATAGTGTAGCTAAGTTGTGGTGTACTTAGTGCTGTTATAAATAGTGTAGCTAAGTTGTGGTGTACTTTCATCCGTTATTAGGAACAAAAACCAGTTAATTTATTGTACACTGATTAATTATACAATATATGTATGCATATTGCATATTAAATGAAAATAAAGATACTCAGTAGTTAACTTGCATCAACTCTAGTGGATCTCTGAGGCCCCTGCCAGCAACTATTCCCCTTAGTATACATCATTACATTATACTTGTTCACCCCATCAGCCCCCTTCTCCCAGGAGTCCCATTTACCAATATTAGTACCATCCTGGTCACTGCGATCAAACGGACACAACTTATACTTGTACTGATCGTCTCGCAGCTCGAAACACTGTCCTTTCAAAACAAAGAACTCCTCATCAGAACCAAAGTCGAGGTTACTGAGTTTCTGTACGTCCTCCAGTTGCCGCTTGGCACCGTCGTGACGTGACTTTGCCTCGTTGTACAGGGACTCAGCCTCATTAAACACTTCAATTAGTTTCTGAGTTTCAGGGTCGTATTCTACAGTGTTGCGGATTGGAGCTGGATCTTGTGATTCGTCCTCTTCTTCGTCCTCCATCTCCTCGTAATCGTCCTCTGAATCCCCTAAATCGTCTAAATCTACATCAAACTCGTCCTGAAAAGTGAGGCTTTAACGAGATGTCTATACCTTCAGTCAACATATGTGAACATTTGTTACGGTACAGCATAAAGCCGTTAAATCTTCCAGATGGGTCTTATAACTAAATCTCGTTACATACCAGAGCTAAGTTACATACCAGAGGTGTGTTAGAGTTAATTACATACCAGAGGTGTGTTAAAGTTAATTACATACCAGAGGTGCTTTCTCTATTATCTTCCCGTCCTCTCCCCACAGCTCTTCATCTGAATTCTCGTCAGGAGCGGGAGTAGGAACAATATCCCTCAGTCTGGGCTTCTTCGCCCTCTTCTCTTCTTTCTTCTTCTCCTCTGCATCAAAACGCTCCTGCTCCTCTCTCTTGTTCTGTATTTGAGTCTGTATCATGTCAACAATTGTTGCTGTTTCTATTTCTCCTCCCTCCACCATTTCAGCTACTTCCTCGTACGGCAGAAGAGAATCTTCTGACTTTCCGTAATCCAACAACTGAAACCAAACATTAGTCAGCAAGGTCAAAAGCTAGGCCGACTACAATAAATGGCTTGTTTAAATCCAAGATAAGAATTAAAGCAAATATTAAAATATGAAGTTATTAGAAGAATGTCACATACCTCATCAGCAGATATCTCCCCATTATTATCCTTATCAATCCTCCCCAACTCCAACTCAGCAGCAGCTCTATTCTTCTCCTTGCCAGCTTCTCTTTTCTCAGCCTCCACTTTCTCCAAAGCTGCTTTAGCTGTCTCCTTTGCTTCCTTGGCAGGGCCTTCTACTTGCTCTTTGTACGCTTGACGCTCCTCAAGTTCAGCTCTACAGGGAGAAGGAGTTATATAAAAGTAAATATTGTAAACTGTCCAGTTATCCAGCTGTTAACTATAGTAAGGGTAAACTTAGTACTGTGCAAGAAGACTGAGGAGTGAGGAGTGCTGAAGTTAAGTATATTCAATATATGGTCCATCAACGTAGGGTGGGAGGTAAATCATGACATTATTTTCGAGGGCATTAGTATGAGATGGTAATCTAGTTTGAAATAGCAATGTTGAAGTTTTAACATGCAACCATTACTATAAAGCTAATAAAGTATGTAATATAGAATGAAAACCGGCAGCATCGACAAATACCACAAATACTATGAATATTTATTATTTAATAAGTATTGAATATTTATCATTAAATAAGTTGTCTCATTAATGATAAAACTAAACTTAAATCATTAAAGTTAAAGAATCTGGTACTTAAACGTTTACTTTGAACTGCACAAAGTTGTAAATTAGGTATTAAGAGGTACCTTAATGTTTCTTCTTCTGTAGCGAAAACTGAGATGTCCTGATCACGGCGTGCCTTAGCAGTCTTTCCGTCTGTAACGTACGCTAGTCTGGTCTGGAATCCTAGAGAGTGTATATATTGTATGAAGAATGGTTGGGGATGAATAACGTACCAGGTACCTATAACCTGATTTGTGTTTGGCTCTTAATATCCTTGATAAAATGATGTAGCATCACATGACGGGTATTATAGTTCTATAAGAACAGTAGCACAGAGGTAAAGTATACTTTGGAGCACTAACCGATGGCTTGTTCGCGTCTAATCTTCTTAGCCGCCTCAGCAGTGTGTGTCCCCAACTCTTTACAGTTATTAGAACACTGCCCACCCATCTCGTCCGACCCATCACAACAATCACAGATACCGTCATCAACACGTGACGAACTTATTAACTGACCTGCGCGTGCGGAGGAATGTGGGAATTATCGAATATGAATTTTAAACATCTTTTTGAGAACGATTGAAAAATTATGAGATGGATAGAATAGATTACAATCAAATTCTACACATGGATGTCGCCATATCAATATTTAATTATGTTAGAGTTCAGAAACATGATTTCATACTATCAGGACCAGATTTATATAAAACTAAATAAAGTAGTGCGTATAATATGTAGTTACCTTTGAAGTGTTTATTGACACAGTAGAAAGACCCGTTACTACACGCAGCTGTCCCGGGCTCATCAGATCCGTCGTTACAGTCACAATAGTCATCATTTACATACTCCATAGGGAAACTCTGACTACCGTCACCGCAGTGGAACTGATACAGGTAATAATTAGAAAATAGGAATGAAACAACTAACAAGCAGAAAGAAAGTAGATCTCAAATAAAAGGTCTGGTAAGTCAAAAGTCGGTAAGATAAACTACAAGAGGTGATCGCTAATAATATATCTAAAACTATTAAATAGGATTAGATTGTAAACTAAAGGCTGGTAAATAACTTGGCCCCACCTGAGATCCTGTGTAAAGGTTAGCTTTCTTAGGATCAGCACCTCTAGGAATACAGCACACTGTACCCAGCAATAGAGCTAAGAGTAACACTAACATCCTGCTGTGAGACATGGTGGTTAGTGTTAGAATGGTGGTTAGTGTTAGAATGGTGGTTAGTGTTAGACATGGTCGTTAGTGTTAAATTGTTAACTTTGTGAAAATATTTTTATGTTTCATGGTTTTCTCTTAACTTACCTATTAATAACTTCAGCTTATGATGATGACTGATATGTGATATCAAATACATTATTTATTTGTAGTCAACTTGAAATTTTCAGAGTTTCCAAAACAATAAAAGTCAGAATTTGTTATATAAACTTAGCCAACGAACAAATGCAAAGCATACATATGATGTACAATAAATATCACAACCGTAAACCAACTCTAAAAAAGCTATGAGCTGATGTTAAAGCCAAACTTCTCGAAACATTCTCTGTCTCTCCACGATATATATCACGGACATCAACGTGCGAAATGAAGCCAGAAGATATGTAAAGGGAAATGTACCTTGTAACATAGTAAATCAAAAAATAAGGATCACTCGTTGCTTCATTACTGTACACAAAGAACTCAAACACTCAAAATGTAACCTTTCCTTAAAGTCAATAAACAAAATAAACTTACTGAATATCCCCTTGATAATATAAACATATTAAAATATGCAATTACACTGGTGGTCAGCTGGTAAGCTGGTCAGCTTATTTGAAAAATAATAATTTAACATCAGGCATGGTACTATGATCTGATTTATGTTAAACTAATACTTCTTAACTTAGAGGCCAGGTGCAGATCTTCTCTCTAAAAACAGCATAACATTGTCAAAACACCGAATCACCACGGTGTGCATAAGTTAATAAAAGCAAAATAATTTTATAATATTAATTGGAAGTGCTCCTATCTTCTCATAATGTTATTTAGCCTTTTTAGCAGCAGCAATGCTACTAAGGAGGCGCTGGCCACACAAGAATGTGACTATAGCAACTCCGGCCAGATACTTTACGGTAGTGAACATGTTGACACCAAGGAAGAAGTTGATGTAGATACCAATGATGGACAGAAGACCTCCGTGGAAGCCAATAGCAGATAGGGAGAAGGTCATGTTTGAGATATTAGCTCCAAGTTTAGCCCACACGACGAGGAGGACGAGAGCTGGGAGGAGGACACATCCTGTGAACACCATGGAGATAGCTTGGGGGGGTCTCTTCTCTGGCTGCTTGAACAGATGAGTGATCTCAGGTTTGGCTTGTTTAGAAATATCAGTAGCAGCTTCTTTGCTGTCCGGTATCTCCAGATTCAGCACTGCAATATCCACAACCATAGCTGCAGGCAAAGTAGCATCACCAACGATCAGATCAACACTGTATTTTCCTGCAATGGAGCCAAAGGATTTGGCAGCAGCTGATCTGAAGTTCAGATCAATTGTGTACTTCTTTTTCAGGTCAGCTTGAGCGATGAAGTAGACATGTTGCTTGGTTTTGGTGTTGGTGAACCTCACAAAGACTTGGTGGAGGGTTACTTCTCCTGCTCCGTCCTTTAGAGTGAAATCAAATATCAGTCTGGTGGACAGATCTGCCTTCCCCGAAACTACACCTTTTGAAGGATCACTGTTAGTCAGGACACGGTTATCATCAACATCAATCAGTTTGAAAGCAGCATCTGTAAGCGCAACTGGCAGAACACATTTTACTTTAACAACACTATTATCTGGAGCAAGGTATCCTGAGGGAAGCTCAAAACCAAGTTCTGCTGAGAATACTCCTCTTGTAAGGTCTGATGCAGAGATCTCGAACATGCCGTCTCCTCCCGACATAGGACCGGCAGGGAAGATAGCTTCACCTCCGGCACCTTTAGCAGACACTATCTTAGCTGTGGAATCTTTAACAGTTACTCCCAGAGGGTTGACAAGAGACACTTTCAGGGTTCTTAGACCTTCTGAGATGACAGCAGAATTATCCAGAACAACTAGATGAGTGGGGACCAGGGATCCACTGGAAAGAGCATCCAGACCAACTAGTGTATAGAACAGATTACTTTTACCAGCCTTATCTTTGTTACTGACTATGTAATTAGCAAACTTCTGGATCATTTGGTCTGTGAGAGCAGCTTTTCCAGCTTTTTGGGACAAAACAGCTGCTCCTTTCAAGAACAAGGCTGTCTCCATTAATCCTCCCTCAAATGACATGGCATTACCAATGGTATCAGCACGGTGGGCAATATCTTCAATAGAGTCCACAAGATCTTTTGAAACATCGCCTGGGAGCACTGCAGCAGCTAAGTAAGCAAGAGAATGAGCTGTCACAGTATCCTCATCCTTAACTTTGGCAGCAATTTTATCATTAACAGAAGCATCAATAGTCATCCCAAAGTTAGACAATGATGTTACTGCTTTGAATAAGGTATTCATACTTGCTCCTTCTCCAGCAATCTCTGAATTCAAATACTCTTCAATACCATCGATGCTTACCTGACAACCCTGAATCTTTGATATATGACTGGCAAAGTAAAGGTCAGCCAAAACCAGTTGAGCATTGTTAGCAACAAATTCACAACTTGACTCCAGAAGAGGAAGTTGTAAAATGTTTCTTGCAACTGTTACTTGGTATGCAGATTTCAGAGAATCGATAGGCAGGTTGAATTCGGAAGAGATCTTTCCCCTGTCAGATGGTGACAAGGAGCATGCCAAAGCCAATACACAAAGTGTTACTAGGACCCTCATCCTGAAAGTAAAACAGTTTACCAAAATGTATTTAACACCTGCTAATTAAAGCTTTTTGGCTGGAATTTGACACATTCCATCACAATGAATATTTAAGTATTTTGGAATAAAAAATATGGAATAAAATTTTGGAATAAAATTCAAATAATTTCAAACAATATTAAAATGCCCTGATATGTCTTGATGAAAACTAACATTAAATATGTTATGAATTGGAGAAAGAGTTTCAGGTCTAATTCCCAAATGTGATAATGTATAGAGCTAGAGTGAGCTTCCAATCAATCAATATCTCTGCGAAGTTACACAGTCATGTATTGTCTCCTCGATTCAGCCAAATGATTAGAAAACTAAGATTGAAGGTCAAATGATGAAGGGTCCTGACAAAACGCAAAAGATCAATAATACCCTAAATTTTAGTTCAATATTTTTATTTCTTATATCCGTCAAATTTTACATTTCTAACAGTCTAACCGTAAAGGATCCCTTAAAACTAATATAGTATCAACCAATCACGCTAATTTGGACTACCTCAGGGGGCTGCACTCTCACCTCTCCTCTTCATCCTATATATTATAGCAGACATGACACACAACACCCCGGAAGAGGTAAAAATATATCTAAGCTGCTACAAATTTGCTGAAGACGGTACACTTATGATTTCCTTCTAGAACAACTCCGGATGCCATGAAAAAATGCAGATGGTTTGTGACCACCTCAGCAAGTGGTGCATCAAGAACAAGCTAGTAGTGAACTGTGATACAAATAAAACGGAGGCTATAAAACGAGACAAATCGTTTCTTGTTTAGTGATTTAAAGAAAGGCTTTAGAAAATCGTCATTTTTTAGTAGTTATGGAGAGGATAATGTCCATCTCAATGATTATGGCATAGTTAAATTAGCAAGGCACTTGAAGTATCATGCACACCATTAGAATACTGCTGAATACTGACATAACACTCCTACCATCAGTTTTATTTTTACAGTACGACATCCAGACAAATACAACCTGCTTTTATTCTGTTTTTTAGTTTAAACACAACTTTACAACTTTTATTCATTCCATTGTGAATTAATAAGATTCACAAGATGACAAATTTTAATAATGCAGCTGATAGGTTTCACAACCTCTGCATTGGTCATTGTAACATTCAAGGAGGGCTTCTCAATTTAGCTAAAAGTAATGAACTTTCCCAACTTATTAGAGATCATAAATTAGACATACTTTCCCTAAATGAGATGAATCTTAATGATACTATTGACACAGACACCATAAATATTCCTTCCTCCTTCAACCTTATGCGATGCGACAGGCCAAACAGTTCTAGGGGTGGTTGTGGCTTAATGATAAACAAAAAACTAGCTTACACAGAATTAGTTATGGATAGTAAGCTTGATAACATTGAAGCATTATGGGTGAAGCTTAAGAATAGCAAGATCAATGTTTGCTGCTTCTATCGCTCTGGAAATTATTGCAGTGTTGATAACTTTATTGAATACATTCATTTTTGCATGAAAAAATTGAATGGGAAAAAGGTTATCTGGATTGGGGATATAAACATTGACCAGAATAATATCTCATCCACCCAGTACAAAAAATTAGATATGACCTTGAGATGTTACAATCTAGTTCAAACCATTCAAGGGATAACTAGAGTTGCTAAACGTGGAGACAATGTTACCCAGACTACTATTGATGTAATATTCACTAACTGTTATGCAGATTTTGTCCAATCTTCTGTTCTTGATGAACGTATTGGAGATCATCAAGCTATTATGTGTGAGATAGATTGTAAAGTACCTATAGCTCCTAAATTTGAGAAGGTTAAAAATTAGAAATCATTGTAAACGTAATGTTAAACAATTCTTAGACTATCTAGACACCTGTTCTGATTACAGTCCACTATTGGAAAGTACAGATGTTGAAGCTATCACAGCTGGCCTTTGTCATCATATTGAACAGGCATATGCAACCTTCTTCCCTTGCAAGACCATAGAAAGGCATGAAAAGTTCATACATAAACCTTCTACTGAACTTTTATATGCCATTAATCATACACATTTTCTTCTAAAGAAATTCCGTAAAAAGAAGGATAAGAGAGACAATGGAAATTGCAATAAATGTGGTACATGTAGCAAATGTATAAAGTGTAATGAGGCCTGGGATTGCTACAAGATTCAGAGAAATATTAGAAATAAATTAGCTAAAACCTGCAAAAAGGCTAATGTAATCGATGATCTACAAGTTAAAAGTGCCAAGAATGATCTTAAAGGGATATGGAAAACTATCAAACTGGCATCAAATATGACCCCTGGTACAACTAATTGTCAAACTATCAATGAGAATGATCCTGAGCTATTTAACTTTCATTTTGCAAATGTTGGATCAAGATTACAAAATCAGGCCCCCAATATTGAAAGAGTTAGTTTTACTGATTTTTTACCTCCTAGAACTTCTAATATCTCATTTGATAGATTCCAAGAAATAAATGAAACTGATATCCTAATGTATGTCGAAACGCTCAAGAATGACAAGGCCTCATATGACAATGTGCCTCTATTTTTACTTAAGCAAGCTGTACCACACATAGTTGAGCCACTGACCCACATTGTCAATCTGAGCCTTAATACAGGTGTTGTACCAACCCTTTGTAAAAAAGCTAGAGTAACTCCCATCCATAAGGCAGGAATGAAAGATGATCCTAATAATTACAGGCCAATATCCATCCTTCCACTTGTAGGAAAACTTATAGAATACTTTGTCGGCAAGCAACTCACTGATTACATGGAAGAGAACAAACTTTTCATCCGGCATCAATATGGCTTTCGGAAAAATCACTCCACAACTTATCTGATGTACGATCTGATGGACGAAATATATATGAGTAAATCTAAGTCTTATAAACCAGGAATCATCTTTCTTGATCTTAAGAAGGCCTTTGACACAGTGAATCATGAAATATTGCTTCAAAAATTGGCATATTATGGAATTGGTGGCATTGCTTTAACCTGGTTTAAGAACTTCTTATCTTGTAGATATCAATGCACTAGGATCAATGGCAATCTAAGCTCATTTTTAGAAGTTCTGAGTGGTGTACCACAAGGAAGCATCATTGGGCCTATATTATTTAGTATCTTCATAAATGACATCATTTATGCCTGTAACCTATCTAAGCCCTTTCTATTTGCAGATGATGGTGCACTATTCTTTGATCAAACCTGCAGAAGCACATTTATAAACATGAAAATAGAACTTATGACAATCTTTAAATGGCTCAGTGTTAATAAATTATCACTCAATGAAAAGAAGACTGAATTCCTATTGTTTGATTCTGTTGACCAACATGATGAAATAACCATTGATTGTAATGAGGTAACTTTCACAATCAAGGAGTGCAAAGAGACAAAATATCTTGGCCTCATTCTAGATAGTAAATTAAACTTCAAAAGCCATGTAGATTATATTATTAGGAAGGTCATGAAGAGAATTGGTGCCATGTATAGAAGTAAAGCACTGCTATCCATTAAGTATAGGAAAATGTTTGCCAATGCACTCATGTTGCCACAATTCGATTATTTAGACACGATCTATTGTAGAGCTGGCAAGACAAAACTTGCTGAACTTGACACTCTGTACAAAAAGGTAGCCAAAATAGCTCTCAACGTTCCAAAAACAGAGAGCAGCCTTAATGTTTATAGAGACATGAAATGGTTACCACTCCATCTTAGACGACAACTCCATCTGTCAAATTATATGTTTAGAATCATCCATGACAATTGTCCTACAAACTTTATGAACAAATTTAGTTACATATCAGGAGGTAGTAGGAGCGGCGAAAGCTGCAACCTTTATGTCAATAGATCAACATCACATAAAAACTTTCAATACTTGGGGGCAAAATGTTGGAATAATGTTCCAACAGATCTACGAAATCTGCCCAATGTTAAAAGCTTTAGTGATTCGTATAAGAAACAGCTACTATCATCTATAACAACAGACCCTAATTATACCGTCGACAATTCATATGACAAATTTTACACTGCAATCATAGTCGCCGATAACTAAGTAACTTCTAATTCTTTTAAATCTGAGGCATATATAATTGATGTATCGAAAAGATATTCCCTTTTTTACCACCTTACCATTCTGATTGATTTTGCACATGACTGACATGCTTTAACTGGAGAAGGGGTTCCCACAGTGGTAGTTTTATAAACCACTTTTAATTTATTGACCTATTATACTTAGTGGTAGTTTTATAGACCACATTTAATTTATTAACTTATCATACTTAGTATTTTTTTTTGGTGACTGTATCACCCAGTTTTAACATTTGATAATTGTACAGTTTATTGACGACACATTGACTGAATGTTATTTTATATTCTAATTTATATTCTAGATATTTTATTTATTTTACAACAGACGACAACTTCCTGTTTTTTCTTCTATATTAGTTACTCATATCTCTTGTACAGACTTTTTTACAAGGACATTGACAAATGATACTCACATTAGGCATTCATTATTGCATCTAAATTATTTCACTTGCATTAGGCTTAGAAATTTATTCTCTGGTCAACAGATTTCAAATGTTTAATTAATTTGTAGTATGACAGTAAGGTATATAAGAAGTTATTTAATTTTGCTTGGGCTATTATATTGACTAGGTATTGAGGTTTAATGATGATATGGAATTTGAATTCTATATAAATTTACACTATGTGGTTGGGGCATTTTGCATAGTAAATATGGTTACTACTCATATATATCATATTATTTGATTGGTATTCGATTTCTGATTATTTCTCTAGGAATATGATTATTATATCTCAATTTGGCTTTAGGTAGGGTGCCCCGCTAAAAGAACTGGATTCTTCCAGGAAGCATCCCGTGCACAGAGCTTGGTTGATTTGATTTTAATGGTAAAAGCATCAACTACGTTCAAAGCACGAAGGTCCTTGGGGTAATAGTAGATGAAGACCTCAATTTCAAGAAACATGTGTCTCAAAAGCTTGAAGAATGCAAAAGAAAGTGGGGTTTAATAACAAAATCAACTAATCGCAACTACGGTCTTAATGTTTACAGCCTCTCTCTCCTCCTTAAGACAATAATCCTTACTAAACTGTTCTATGCAGCACCTATTTGGCTTCACAAGTGTCTCAATCAATTTAAAAGCTTCTGGAATAAAGTAATCCTAAATATATCTGGATCAGTCTTGAACCCACAAAGGGAATTAACCGAACTTGCTCTCCACCTCCCACCACTGGATGTGCAACTCGAAGCCGTCTCAGTTAAATTCACGTGCAAAATACTCGCACAAGGTGACAATCTTTCAGCTACCCTCTACCAAGTTGATGAAAGCATCTAATACCAAGCTTTCATGCTTCGATCATGTCACTTAAAAAGTACCTCCTTTGGAAAGAAAATAAGTCTCACGGAACTAGAATGATTGACCTAACGCAGCCACAATTCAAAGATCTGGCCCATTACATGCAGTCCGACATAATAAGATACAAACAAAAGGTCTGCATTGATACCATTGAGACAAATCTCCTATACTATGCAAATCTCCTATACTATGCAAAACTACAGGTAACAGCAAGGAGACCTTGAAGATACTCGGTATAATCACCAAGATAAAGAACAGTGGGCTGCTCCTAGACAAAAATAACTTCATATTCGGGCACAACACAGGTACTATACAGATCTAGACAGCCGAATGATGGATTATATCCACGGCAGCTAGTCACCATTCTTTGCGGGTATCCAGAAGATCACGGGTAAAAACAGTGGTGAAACCTGTTCTTGTGAAAATATGACAGTATTTTTTAAGCGCTCCATTTTTATAGTACAGTGTAACTTGTCATAAATATGCGAGGCGCGCCTAAAATTTTAATTTTAAAATAATTTAAAGTTAAACCAAAATTATATTTGATACATTTAAATTAGTTCTTATTACATACAAGATACATTGTAAATGGCAAAGTTTGCCCACGGTCAAACTACCAAAATGAAGTGCGCGAAAAAATTGTTTAATTGTATGGCCAATGTGCATTTAATTAATTGTGCAATGGCGCAGGTTATGATTACTCAAATCACATCAAATTTAATATTTGAGTCACGATGACTTAATCCTTTGCAGCAGGTTGCGAAAAATATTATTTAATGCGCGGCGCGGCCCAATAGTGAATAGCGCTACAAATTTATTATGTATGAAATTAAAAATATTTCAAGATAACGTGAGTTAACCAAAATTGACAGGGGAATCGTTTAATAAATCATTTTTGAGGCACATAGACAGAAGCTTGCTCTATCTAGAGCCCTTGCGCTTGTGAAATAAGCGCGCCCGCAGTGGCGCAAAAGCACATGCAACATGGTTAGGTCATAGGTGAAAACAAAAGCTACTCACGCTAAGTGCATATATTGATTTTGATTCACGATGCAGATGTCAATCCTTCACAGTGCACAGCAAGCTCGGCGTGAATGATTTTAATAAGCTTAAGATATTAGCCGATGATAGAGTTACTTGGAGAAACAAATTTTTATTTTAGCTGTCTTGATCTGTACTGATCACCATTTTAGGATGACTTGATTTCTTTTAGTGTTTAGGGGTTTTGAATATTTTAATGTAAACAGTTTTTTAATAGCTCGGCGTGGCCCAAACCCCAGTAGTGCATATTTGCGCTGCGCTACAACATACACAATACAACAATGTGTGTACCAACGCATCATGATCCGACGCATATTATACCACAGGGAGACTATTAACGGGTGATACTCGTAAAATATTTGTTCCAATTCGGCGCGCTTCTTGGTAGGTTATAAACCTACGAGGAGACTAAAGTGCAAAGAAACTGTTGCTAACTGCTGCTGTCGCGCGCGTGAAAGCCGAAATGAGCGCGGTCGAGCTAATTGTCCATTGTTAATGGAGTAGCATTTGCATCGGGCTATAGCTAACATTTCGAGAAGGAAGCGGCGCGCGCTACTTCGATTGCTCTATCCAGAGCCCTTGCAGTAGCGCGCGCCCGCCTCACGGCGGTAAACTTGTGTCTTGTGAAACAAGCGCGCCCGCAGCGGCGCGAAAGCACATGGTTAGGTGAACTACTTCGAAGAAATTTAGATGAGTAACATCCGTCAAGGTCGAGCGAGCAATATAATAAACTAGAAAGCTGGATAATTATAACAAAAGTTGTCATAATAATTATAACAAAAGTTGTCATAAGTTCTATATATGACCCGCCGCGCACGACTCTCCCTGTATCGTTGATCGTATAAGAAACTCCACACTTAGTGAAACTGAAACGACAATGGGGGTCACGACGTGATACAACATCCGTTTATGCAACTAAGAACTCAATAACTGTACTGTGTACATTTTGACACATGACAGAACCAAATTGCATTTCAATGTTTTACAGAACTGGTGCCATACTATTACATATTACTATACTTGTAATTAATAGGTTCGCACAATTAACACTTCTGGTATTGGATTCCAATTGAAGAATAATATTTCTTTTCGTGCAGTGTTCAGCAGAAAGAAATTTAAGATGAATAGAAATAAAACATACATTGTACTTTCTCAATTCTCAAATCTCAATAAGTTAGAACCAAAAGCAAAGTTCAATGAAATACAGCTATACAGGTTAGACAATGTAAAATATCAATTCCTCTGAGAAGTCACTCCAAATAGAGAGGCGTAATGTAATTAGTAAGACTTTAGATTACAAACAGGGTAGGTATTTGGGAAGACTTTTTAAAGTGATAGGTAAACTTCCTAGTGCATAGTACAATTGCAGTATGTTGTTCTACCTTACATTTTGTCTGATATGCGGTGAGTTTTCTTGATTATTTCAATAATTTAAGCAACTGATACCATTCCAATTTAGCTGGAAATTACGAATTCTTCCTCCTCACACCTTGATCGAGCGATAATCTATAGACATAGTTGTAAGGTGATTGAGGTTAACATAGTACGTCAAGTATAAGAAACCGGTTATACTCTCAGTATACGATGTCAGGGGAACTTGCTCGAGGGACGAGACAGTGGAGGCAGCTAAAGTAGCGGAGCAAGTAGACGACAAACCCATTAACACTGACACCTGGACTGAGGGGGAAACAGCTACCATCAGGTGAGAGTGAGGGGAAACAGCTACCATCAGGTGAGACAACTAGCGGAGATCAACATAAGACCATCCTCCGAAACTGCAAAACTGTCATCAACACGTTTCCGAGCATTACCAGAAGATAAACTAAACTCCCTCTCCCAGATGCAAGGACTATGCCAAGTCGTGGACCTGGACCAACTCAATACGAGCCCTACCAGGAGTAGAGACAAGCAAGATAGATGAGTACGACTCCGTCACCAACAAACAACTCGGTTACATAGTGGTGAAGTGCGAGGGGAACTCTTTCAAACCGGACATTTTTACTGGACAAACCTCCTGGTGTGCTCGTAAGTAGGAAATTATTGTATCGCTGCAAATTTTAGATTGTAATTTATAGAAACAAATTCGAAAATCTCCACTGCAACATTTCTACAGTTGTAAAGCTAACCCCCCCCCCTCCTCTCAGTAGGTTGTGCCCCAATACCCGAGCTGAACCCCCCTCAGTGGGTTGTGCCCCAATACCCGAGCTAACCCCCCCCTCAGTGGGTTGTGCCCCAATACCCGAGCTAAACCCCCCCTCTCAGTGGGTTGTGCCCCAATACCCGAGCTAACCCCCCCCCCCCTCTCAGTGGGTTGTGCCCCAATACCCGAGCTAAACCCCCCTCTCAGTGGGTTGTGCCCCAATACCCGAGCTAAACCCCCCCTCAGTGGGTTGTGCCCCAATACCCGAGCTAAACCCCCCTCAGTGGGTTGTGCCCCAATACCCGAGCTAAACCCCCCTCTCAGTGGGTTGTGCCCCAATACCCGAGCTAAACCCCCCTCAGTGGGTTGTGCCCCAATACCCGAGCTAAACCCCCCTCTCAGTGGGTTGCGCCCCAATACCCGAGCTAACCCCCCTCTCAGTGGGTTGTGCCCCAATACCCGAGCTAAACCCCCCCCCCTCTCAGTGGGTTGCGCCCCAATACCCGAGCTAAACCCCCCCTCAGTGGGTTGTGCCCCAATACCCGAGCTAAACCCCCCCCCTCTCAGTGGGTTGCGCCCCAATACCCGAGCTAAACCCCCCCTCTCAGTGGGTTGTGCCCCAATACCCGAGCTAAACCCCCCCTCTCAGTGGGTTGTGCCCCAATACCCGAGCTAACCCCCCCCCCTCTCAGTGGGTTGCGCCCCAATACCCGAGGACACGACACACTACTGGAAAGCTACCTACCCAGACGACACAGTGACCACTGTGAGATCTGCAGCTCCTGTTAATGTTAACCCTGCTACCTATGTCACTGTCAGCTGCAGGTTCGTAACAGTGTCACAGTTATCCGGTGCTGTGTGTGTATTCGTTAAACATTCGTTCAAATATCAATTGCTTCAGTAATCTATATCAAAAACCTTGTTTCAAATTTGCCGCCATTTCGAGAGAGTTATAGTTCGTCTGGGTGAGATTGAAAAGGTCCGTTTCAGGGACGGTTATGCGAGGAAGAATAACGACAATGGTGCTAAAGTGTCCAAGTGTGATGTGGCCGGGTGGATAGAACCTCTCAGCAGTTTCCCTAAATGTGTCCGTAAGTTCTTCCTGCTGTTTTCCTATATTAGTATCTACCCGCATCTGTATCAGTATTCAGTACCGACTGCTTCCAAAGAACTGATATTTCTATCCAACGCTTATATATTATGTACTAGGATTCAGAGCCTTTTAACTCTTTTAAGAGGACGCAACAATTCTAAAGACTTGAATCATAAGAATTATTAAGTTCACAGTTTAACTAAGTCGCTATGCCAATTCTTCACAAACAACACCTGCCCTGTCTATTTTCTAATGCTAAATGGTTTATAGAACTCTTGATTGAATATGCACTTAGTCATTTTGTTTTATTTAGCGCATAGACTTCAACGTTTCTACTTACTTTCGATAACACACTGCTCTTTTACTTTACAAAGAGTAGAGCGAATTCAAGCATTAGAGTGGCAGGTGTTCAGATTGAAATCTGTGAATCCTGTTGGTCTCTAAACTTAGTTAGCATGCGATTGTCGGCCACATATCTGTGGTCTGATGCATTTAATATCCTTGACAATCATTCCTTAACCGTCTGTCGAATAGTTTAAACCTCTTTTCCTTTCTTTCTTCTTTTTCTGAAATACACGTTAAATTTCGTTTGAAAATGCACTGATTTGCTTAGAAGTATCGGTAGTATTCCACATTACCTCATTTACCCATTCAAGATAGCCAGGATAATAACCCAGTCACATTACTACTACTACTACTACTAACCCAGCCATCTACACACCATCTACACACTAACCAGCATCTGCTCCCAGCAGCATGATCCGAGTTTTCATATCCCTGACCTACATGCTGGCCCTCCTGTTAGGAACACCCACCAACCTCCTCTCTCTCCTCTACTTCTCCCGGACCTGGCACCTCACCAGTTCTCTCCTACACAGCCTCATGAACCTCACTGACCTTGTTATCTGTCTCCTTGTCTCTCTTCTTCCTGCTGCTACCAATATCATCACAGCGGACATTACTAGTGTTAACTTGGAACCTATCTGTTATGTTTGGTATATTCTTCAGATGCTGGCTTTTAGGTTCTCCGTGTTTCTGATAGGGGTGGTCAGTGTGATGAGGACCTATTCTATTGTAAGACCACTAACGTTGGGTCTCAAGTTGAGATATCTAGCTATCATTCTGTTGTCGTATATCGTGTATTTGCTAGGGAAGTTTACTCTTTTTGCACTGAATGATCTTAAACCAGGATACGACATTCCAATGCGGATCTGCGGGATTAATGCGACTCCTAATACCACCCCAGCTCATATCTACGCCTGGATAATATCAGATTTTGTGGAGACCTTGGTCCCGATGATAGTGATAGTTGTCAGCTGCACAATAACAGTTCTGCACTTAAAACGAACAGGGATAAACCACAACTCTGCCAGGAAAAGGAAAGCTACAATCACCGTGGTGATTTTAACTGTAGTCTGCATCTTGTTCAACCTACCATACGCTGTAGATCGTTTTATTGTCATCATCAATCGAATAAGCAAAGGAGAAATATCACCTTATGAAAAGTTGTATTACCAGGATCCAGCCATTTACTTCGGTATCAAATCAACAATAGTAAGCTTGCAGTTCATGGGTACCATATCTTCAGTTGTTAACCCTATAGTGATCATAATCAGAGTGAACATGCTTCACAAATTTAGAGAGGGCAAAATAAAAACTTATCAAATTAAGCACTGTCAAACCAGAAATATCCTAACATACAACAACTCTCTAGACATTGTCTTGCGAGTCCTAAACCAACCAGGTACTTACAAATAGCAACAAATTTGGGGGACTTTGTCGCGCCGCGCATTTTCTTGCTTTGCTCCTTGATAACATATGCTACATGGTGCATACGTACCATGCATATTAAAGCTACCAAGAGTGAAAACTCAACATCAATCATCATAACCGATCAACCGATTATAAACTTGAATACCATACTCCACAATTCCTGAATTCCCCCATCATACCTCTTAATACACTCTCAGCGGGATGCCCGGACCTGACGATGACAGTAAACAACAGAGTAGCTCTGAACACAAAACGTAGTGACACACAGGCTCCTTTTATAACAGGTTGGTGAATGCGAGGATTTTATCTATTATAAGATCGAGAGATAATATTTTTCACTGACCAGCAATTTTCTGTCTTGCCGGACCAGGAACCACAACCAGGCCATCAAGTTCTTATCACATATCTCATGAGATAAGTATCACATGACCTATCTACCCCAGGAGATACGATAGAGTTCAAGTGCCAGGATTCCCACAAGATGGTGGGAGACAGCACCATAACTTGCTCCTCTCTAAACAGCTGGGACAGATCGGCTCCTCTCTGTGTCAACACTGCACTTAGGACCACACCACTGGTAGTGGTAGTGGTGGTGTCACTTCTGGGGTCCTTATATGTGGCTCTTTGTTGAGGGATAGTTGTTGTATTTGTAGGAGTGGGTTTAATTTAGGGATGTTGTTTGTTATTTTGTAAAAGGCAGGAATTGGTATTTATCAGATTTTATCAAAGCTTTTCATTAGTGCTTCCCAGTTCCTAGCCACAATTTATATGATAAGAATGGATTACGTAAATTATAATTGGATGAATCCTTTTACTATATTAAAAGCTTATTAAAGATTAAAAGATTAAATTAAAGCAAATCAGTATCACGACTCACGAGCGAAATTTCATAAAACTGTCTGAGCAAATCATTCAATTTTTTGAGATGATGATTTTAGTTTTTGCATGAAGTTAGCCACATTTCAATAAAAGTGTTAATATCTTGGGAATACTTGAGGTACACACTGTTCATGAAGTCTTCTAAACCTTGCCTCCGTTGGGAGATGAAATCTTCTTTGAACTTTCCTATGGGTAGGACATTATAACTAATAATGCAATGGAACTATACTACCGTTTTCTGACAAAATGCTTAAAATCCACTTAAAATCCACTTAAAATCCACTTAAAATCCACTTAAAATCCACTTAAAATTCATTTAAAAATCCGAGGTTTTCAAGCACTTTTGGCACATTTATGACCAATTTTGGCATTTTAAGCTGTTTCAAAAGGGGGTTTATGGGGGCCAGCGTTCTAAATATGGTTTCTAGTGGTTTTCAGGGATAGTTCTTGACCCAAAAAAATCAGGTTAAAGAATTCAATATTTAAAAATGGTATTTAAGCACATTTGTCAGAAAACGTTATGCATATGTTATATCGAAGATCATATCTAATCAAATTATTTATCTATGATTAATTTTACAATTTTTATCCAACAAAATATAAAAGCAATATTATTGAATCCAACCTTTGCAGTGAAAATGTACGACAAATTGAAAGTGAAACACTAACCAATAACTTTCTTCTGTGGGAAGTCAGGTAGAGCGCTGGGGGGAAAAGAGAATGATTTTACTAAGGATTCCCGGAGTGAGACGAAATCTGAATACCGTTTCTCGTTCGATATTACTTTACCCTGAATAAATTGTTAGTTTAAAAAGAATATATACTCAAGATCAGGAATGGAACTTTAATCCCTTAATAAGTCTTTATAAGGAGTTTTTAAGGTACGGCCACAGCGTTAAAACGAGTAGTGAAAGTGAAAGTGAAAGTGAAAGTGAAAGTACTTACTCCGACAGTGTGAAGAGTACAGTGGTAGAGCGAGTAGTCACCGAAGAACCCAGATACGTTCCGAGAGTGGGTAACTTGGACAAACTTCTGTAACAAAAACAGATATGAGCACATAATTTGTGGAGGCAATTTAAAGGTATATTATCTGTTAGGTTTTATCATTCTCTGTTGATATGTGATGAGGTTAGCTGAGTTTGATTGCTGTATTACCATTTCAATCACCTTAATAACCCCAGAATGTGTGTGTGTGTGTGTGTGTGTGTGTCTGTCTGTCTGTGTGTAATTTCCGAACGGTTATACAAAAAAACGGTAAGAGTAACGGGACTGGTTTTTTCGGTATAGTGCCGACAAAACTCTGATGAAGCCCATAAGCAAATTTTTTTTAAATCGGCCGGTGGTAAGTGGTTTAATTGACGGTTTTGTACCACAAATGTTGCATAAAATAGCTTGAGCAGAACGGCAAGAGTTACGGGGCTTGCTCTCTATATCTCATTACTGTATAATATGTAGCTGCATTTAAGTAGCGTCATAATTGCATTAGCCCGGTAAGATTCGCTGTAATGTTATACCATAAGCTTATTAGGGGAGGGGGACTGTTAGTGTTTGGGGTTTGTTTGGACTGCAGAGAGAGAGAGAGAGAGAGTTCATACGACAATATGTTATGCGTGTTTTCAAATATAATAGGCGGATGTGGTGCGAAGTTAACAAGGGTTAATTTCTATAACGATTTAAATAAAAATAGAAAGCGGTTCAAGACGGGAGTGATGAGGTGTAATACTCGGTGTTCAGACCTTATGATCATGGAATGTGGTGCCTCATGGCTAATAATGACTTAACTATCCACAAGAAATAACTGATTGTGAGATTATTGTTTAAGAAACTATTGGGTCACCTAATGCGGGTTTTGACTCAGCGGGTAATTACTCCTACCCTTTTTAACTGCGGCAGTGAAATCCCGGCCGAAGGCCGGGTTACATTAGTATTATTATAAAGATCAAGTTGAGTGATAACTTTATTTGAAATTTCGTGTTTAAAGATTAGAATGAGTCATTCACATCGAAAATTTGGTGAGCATTAAAACCTTGTCGTTAATTCCTACGGAATACTTTGTCACGTTTTGCAGCTAAATACTACGGAATCCCAACCACAAGAAAGTTCCAGAATAACTTAGAACATTAGATTAACGGATATTGAATGACAAGGATTTCGTCATCTGAGAAATATAATATCACTAAACTCGATAACAACATGACTGAAATGATGCAACGGAATTACAAGAATTTGGCTCCAGTTTTTTCATGCATGTTATTACTTATTTGATGTAAGAGTTAATATATTCCAACTTCAAATTTACTGCCGAGTTCCGATAACTACAACAACTTGGGTCCCATAATTAGCATTAAGCATGTGCTGTCAAGTCGTGTATTTTATATAACAACCCATGAATTACTTAAACTTTATTGACAATTGGTACCGTTACCATGATAACTGAGAAGCAGAAGCGACTTCACATGATCTGACGAAATACAATTGAATTATACCACGAGGTCAAGTCATTACGTGTGAATTCAAACAATCACGTATATTTTGCAGATAGGAACTAGAATCATTTTATAGTGTTCTGCTTTCTAATTCGTGTGATATGTTGACGTTACGGTAAATACATTCTTCCTGAACCTTTTAGCGATCCGTCATCTGTAATCTTTTTATTTAATTTGATAGGTGAACAAAGTTTCAACTCCCGAAATGTTTAACGTGATAATGTTTACTGTAACAGCTAACCCTGGAAGATGAATTTCCGTTCTCCTATTCGCCTCCCGTCGTTCAACCATCCTTTTCTTTCAATTGAAGACATTATCCAATGTCTGTTTTAAGAAATAATCTTACAGTTTATTAATGTTTGAATAGCGCAAGTGACACGTCTTAAAATAGCACTAAAGGTTTATTTATACAATATGTGTTATCAAATTACCTCGAGGAATCTTGTCATTGTCCAATGTCCATGTAAATCCGGTCTGTATTATTCGTTTGTCTACTTGCTCTTTAGAGTATTTAGATATACAATCTCTTGTAGCTTGGTTGAAACACAATCTCTCATCCGGGGCAGAGATAGACACAATGTTAAACTTACAGATCTATTTAATCCAGTAGCACTACTACTACTACTATGTCGGAACTAAGTCCGATCTACGCCAGATAACCCCTTCCATATATCCCTGTCCCGCATCAGGGTTCGCAGTTCCTCTTTAGAGTTTGTCCCAACTTCCTTCAATAACATAGACAAGTAGCTTTGTCTTGGTCGGCCTTGCTGTACTCTACCATGCATAGGTTGAAGGTTCCCATAAGACTAAATTACTGGCAAGTAGCTGAGGATGTCTGATGCAATTAACTTACACTAGTTTGTTCATTGATGTTGCATGCGATTCATCAGTTTTACAGATAAAACAACTTAGTTTCGTACTATTCATTAACAGGAGTATAAAACGTCTGCTAAGTAATACTTAACTTGATGCTTTTATGTTTTCGATTTGATCTTTTTTCTATAGTAGCAGTATCCATTATCCAATAGTACCCTTAATTGAGTCATGATTCCGATTTGTGAGACCCTTGTGCAATGTACAATGTGTGTCTGTGATGTTATCGTACAATGTACAGTACAATGTACATCGTACAATGCACATTGTACAATGCACATCGTACAATTTACATCGTACAATGTACAGTACAATGTTCATCGTACAATGAGGTTTGAAATTGAACACAAAGGTTGAAGGTATGTGATCAAACACGGACCTTCACGAGAGTTTTGTAACTACATATTTCTCTTTGTCTACATACAAATGACTTTAAAAATGTGAAGAGTTGATTCAATTTTATTCAATGACGCATATTTTATTCAATGACGCATAAGATTTTCGACTCGATCGGCGGTTTAAAACTTTGATTGTCGAATACTGGAGCTATTCTGGTTACGTCATGAGTTATGGTATTTCCGTTTTTGCGATTAATTATATTCCGTGGTGTGGTCGACTAGTTATAATAAGGCAGGTGATATATATTATCATTAACTTATATAAGTAAGTATACCTTGACCGGCGTGTTTGTGATCAGTGGAGCGAATTTGATACGCCAAAACAACCGCGAAAATTTAATCCAAACATTCCCCAGCTCTTTGTGGATCACTATCAATTGAATATGCATTCGCTTAGAGTGACGTAATTTATGTGTACTTACGCGTCCGACAATGTAGGAGCTGAACAATCAACATGTAAATAGTAGATCTGTAGATCTCATTTGGCCTGGGGTCTGATCAGTAGTCTTTGTGTTTGTTATAGTGTGTCCTCTTCAGAATTTATACATGTGTAAACTGTGTAAAACAGTCTCACACTTTGCAGTTTGACCTAGTTTTTGGTTTAGAATTTCGACAGTTTGTGAAATCTTTAACTTTGGGCAAATACTTTTTAGTTCTTATCTACGGAATCGAATTTCTGGGACAATTTATAAAAATATGTGACTTTATCCGGTGAAACGTACGCAGTGACACTTTTATCTTGACATCAGGTGCTTCAAAGTTCAAATTTCCTTAACTTACGCTTTTGCAGTGAAGTCATCGATGAAATAGAGCGTCACGAGTTTGGGGCTTAGGAGCATTTTACTTCCTCTAAAATTACTAATAAGTAGTGGCTAGTTCAATGGATTATATCGTGCTCCAATGGCACAACGAAATAGTGAAGGTTCAACAGTCAGCTTTTTCTATCAACAAGAAAGTAACAGAATGGAAGTGGAAGGAACTACGATCACCTTTGACACAGAGACTTTAAGCGCTGTAGAATCTGGGAAATCAAGCTTCGAGTTACTTGGATCAGGATTCTTTGCAGATGTTTACAAATACGTCTGTCCCCATTCAAATAAAACGGTCGCTTTAAAGCACTTAAAGAAAGCCAAGCTGAAGGATTGTAAGCCGATAGCCACCAAATTTCAAAGAGAGATGGTCGTACATAGAGATTTGGAACACAAGCACATTGTCAAATTCTTTGGAAGCATCAGGGCTGACAACGTAGGGAAGCACGGTTCCATGTTTCTCGTTATCCAGTACACAGAGATGAGGTCCCTGAACTACCAAATGACCAAAACGAACTTGAAAAGGAGCAAGATACTGATATACATAGAACAGATACTCCAAGGACTTCGTTATCTTCACACGTACAAGAGCAACCAGGGCCAGCTGCAGCCTATAGTTCACAGAGATCTCAGATGTGACAATGTACTCATGGCTGCAGATGGTACTTTGAAGATTGCTGACTTCGGATTGTGCAAAAGACTGCACGAAATGGCTGAAGCCTCAGGAATCGGCTCTCAAATGGGGAATCCATACTGGACTGGTCCAGAATTGATGGACAAACAAAGAAGAATAGGTGAGATAAGATTTAATGTAATGAGTGAAATATCTGTTCGTCCTACGGACAACATTTATGCCGAACCTAAACATTTTATAAATCCCTCTGTTTTTTGCAAATTGATGGCTCTACAGCTCATTTATTGTATGGTCGTTTATTTTTATTTTCGCGATTAGAACTAGAAGTGGAAAATGGGTGAATGTGGGTCAATTAAACTTATTAGGATGACTAAAGCTGATACTCTTATTTCATCAGGTCTAAAAGCAAGCATACTAGTTTTGACCGACATTTGGAGTCTTGGAGTTCTTACTTTAGAGTTGTACTATTATGGAGCAAGTAAAATACCGTTCATAGCCGGATTAACACAATATGAATACACAACCGAAATTGCAAATGGGTATGGACCCAAGATTCCGGATAAAGCACCGCAGGAGATCAAGGTACTTCTGAAAAATTGCTTCAAGTATGAAATAACAGAGAGGGCAACAGCAGCGAGCCTACTATCGAAACTGAAAACATTCGTAAGTGTATAGCTGAACAATTTTATTGTTATTATAATTCGTTTAATTAGTTGATTTCTGTGATAGTGTTCATTAAAGATGGTGCAATTTTACTTTGAGCTTTATTATTCCTAAAATACTACCCACTCAGGATTCAGGTCGAGTAGCAGATTTAGAAATACCTTACCCATCGTCACCCCAAAATGATCACTCAGAAGATCCTACAAACTCCACTTACAGCAGTAGCACTATCTTTGATGGCAAGTTTTACAGTCGGAATAAGTGTTCTAATCGAAAATGTTTGACCGTTGTGGAGATTTCCCCTAAAAATGGTTACCAACTGTCTTTAATGAGCTTTTCGCAGGGGTGCCACGTTCAAATTCTGACTTGTTCAAAACGATAAACCGCACAGAATGTCTTACTAAGTTGTGCGAACCGAAAAGTGAAAACTATCGGCTTAGGCGGTACACATCTAAAGGTAAGGATAACAAACATTATTACAGCTGAGAATTATACATTTATGGCCAGATGGTCGAAAATCATTTGAGTAGTGGCTAGTTCAATGGAATGTGCTTTGACCATTTTGAGCTAATTGAATGACTGAAATAGAAACATCCACGTACTCAAGATCCTTACTCAAGAGGGCATAGACTTTATCAAACACACACTTCTCCAGGGACAGAAGAGTTAATCCTTGAAGATGGTCAAAATGGAACGTATGTCATCAAGAAGAGGGAAAATGACGAAGAAGTTTTCAAAGTGCGTTTTCAGAAAAACGATACAGTACTTTCCTTACAGCAAAAGTAAGTGAAAACTAAACAAGTTTACTAGTTTAGTAATCAAGATCGGAAGCGAATATTATAGCCGTCCAAAAAACTTAAATGTCGATCGTGTAAATTAGCATTTCACCGTCGCAAGAATAATAAATATATTCTAGCATTTATAGTACATTTAGACAACAAAAAACATTCCCCATATGGCCATACATAAAATAATATGTGAATGGAAGAATTAAAGTAATGATTATGGAAATATCGAAACTATGCACTTTTATATCAGTTCAGAATTTTTGGACAAATATTACAAACATCATCAAAATTTAGATGGGAACAAAATGTTTTTATGGCACTTTAGGGAATGAAAAACACAACTCTGTAATATTTGTTTTAATAATTATCTATTTAATAATTATCTATAGTAATTAATTTAAAAGTCATTTTGAAAATCAAAGTATGTTTTTCAGTGACGAGGAATTACTTATCATAGAGTCTTCCGACAAGAATAGCAAATACCTCAAAACTTCGCCGGGGGGTGTATTTGCTCAAGTGAACGAACCCAAGGGACTTAAGAAGTTAAAACGAATGTTCAAATTATCGTGAGTGTTTGTTTATGCTCAATGCTGTTTGGCATCTACTGAAATAAGATAAAAACACTTAAAAACTCCTAAAATTCGGAGAGTAATTTTGTATTATTACGGTACATTATTTATGTATCATTTGCTTCCAAATCGTCATATTTGCAGGAATAAAAGATTGGTAGTTAAATCTGTCGCAGCACATGGTAGGGAGTTGATGGAATGTATGAGTCCGAAACTGAGTCGCAAGGAATTACCAACGGACACAGATTCCCTGGCGAGTTCTAACACCTCTGACGGGGCTTTTTATAGCGTCCGATCACATGCAGAAAGTGTGGTGGGGTCCATGACAGCATTTACGACTGACGGTAAGCGTTTGGATATTAAGAAAAGCAAAAACTCGGAGAACTTTATGTATCTCATGCAATATAGAGGAAAGATGGAACCTGTCTTGGCGGAATTTAACATGTTTTTGAAAGACTGTAAATGTGATATATCAGTGACTCCAGATTCCAATACCGCTTTAGTGGCCATTATGGTCGCCTATTTCTACAGACATAAACTTTTAACGACCAAGAAAACCAAATGGAAAACCAAAAGTTCATCAAAGTACCGATTATCTAATGACTTTTCGTAAGGTAAACCTTGACAGTTGACATGTTATGTATCAAAGTTGAGTTCAAATTATAAATGTTGACATATGTTAGAAAATCCTTATCCTTATAATTCCTTTTTATTATTGAGATTTACTGTTTTGTCATTCATTTATTGTGTGTTAGCCATAATCTATTCGAGTCGCATTTCGTCAACATCACATACCAATATTTATAATCAAAAATCGATGAAATTTTCATTAAAAACCTCAGATGTTATTTAATGAATCAAAAATAACCATTTTTTTGTATACATTTTCTTCTGAGTAACAGAACTTTATCCATTTAGGAAATTCTATATGTCATGTGAACCAACAAAATACATATGATGTCATGAGCTAACAAGCAGATTTTCAACAACCCCTGCCATACTCCTTGTTTCCGCCGTTCTGCTCTTCTCTTGTTAAAATGACGAGTAATCTAGAAGAAGTAGACTCAAGTTCAGAGCAGGACAGCACAGTTTCCTCAGACAGTACTCCCACTAATGTTCAGTCTGGAAGTGGCAGTCTTGTGAGTGTTGAGGGTGTACAGATCTCTTTGGATGTGGCAACTCTGGATGAGATTATATCTGGAAGATCAGATTGTGAGTTGCTCGGAAGAGGAACATATGGAAAAGTCTATAAGTACACTTGTCCGCGATCTGATATAACGGTGGCTTTGAAACATCTTATATCAGCTAGAGTAAAAAAATGTGAACCTATCGCGAAGAAATTTCAGCGGGAACTGGAGGTCCATACGGACTTGGACCAAAGAAACATCGTCAAGTTCATAACGAGTATCAGGGAAGACAGTGTGGGACCAGATGGGGTTCTGATTCTGGTACTGGAGTACGCAGAGAAAGGATCTTTACATGACCTCATGAAGAAAGGGAAACTTCAGCGGTGTAGGATACTGACTCATGTTGTACAAATACTGAAGGGGCTCGACTATCTCCATAACTTCACTGACACTTCCGGTAATAGAAGACCCATTATTCACAGGGACCTGAGATGTGCGAATGTTCTAGTGTCCGCAGATGACACCCTGAAGATAGCTGACTTTGGGTTGTGTAAGAGGCTACATGAGATGGCAATGGCTTCTGGGATTAACTCTAAAATGGGAAATCCTTATTGGTACGCTCCTGAGCTGGTGGATCGGAGTAAACGAATAGGTTAGTTCGATTTGTGGTATAATTCTCCAAACTTTTATCTAAAAAGTAGTGTGAACATTCAATAGTAAAATAACAGGTTGAAACTCCAAACTAGGTGATTCTAGACAGATCGTTTGTTTTTTAAACTTCTGAGAAAGAATCCCCTGTCCTTTCGGCAGTGCTGTTAGATTGTATTTTTCAAAATGAAGAACCGAACATCTTGAAAATTATCTTGGCCCAGGTTTCAGCATCAACACATTGGTTCTGACAGATATCTGGAGTTTAGGTGTGTTGATATTAGAGCTGTATTACTATGGAGCGTCACGGATACCTTACATTGATTATTACAGGTAATCCATTGGTAATTTCCATATTAATTTATACCATCTGAGTCAGATAAAGTGGCGTTTCAGATCACAGAGAATGAGAGAAACCTGAGTTGCCAAAATAAAAAAAGAGAAGATGTTATTTTTGTGATCATTGAGGTTTGATTTATAATTTCTGACAATCTGACGTTAATACCTATAAAGCTATAACATCGACAATATATATTTAAGGGATCTAGAGTACATCTTCAAGCTAGGAAACGGATGGGTACCAAAGACGCCTAAGGCAGCACCCTCAGAAATAAAACTGTTACTTGACAAGTGCTTCGAATATTGTGTCGACAAAAGACCATCAGCGGCCAAGCTCCTGTCCATGATCAATAACTTTGTATGTTTTGCTAGTTAATTTGAGAGACGTTTATCAAAAACATCCTAAGCTCTTACCCTGAAAGATGAACACTAAATGGCAAAATGCATGGCAAGGCAAGGCTTCTTATCTGGTATTATTTATCAAACATAGTCTAAACTAAAGAAGTGGATATTTTTGTAGGATCTGACAAAGAGAGCGAACCTAGAAATCGTAGAACCGATAAAACCATCTCTAGAATCTTCTAGCAGCTCTGATAACACTCCAGACTCTTACATTACTGTCACAGAGTCAGTATCAGACGGTTAGCAAACATTAATTTGATTATATGATTTAATGATTCTCAGCTCCAAAAGCGGGCTCTAAGTTGACATTATATCACCCTAATATAATTATGTACAGTGGTTCATGGCAATACGATGTTTGATCCAATGTATTTATTCTGCGGCAAAATACTTATCTCAAAATATATCCGTCGTGTCATGAGTAAACATCACATGACAGGTAAATAACTCCTGCAGGGTTCGGCTCAGACACGTACGTGACAGTAGACGCTCCTCTGGAACCAGTAAGAGACCCGCTGGAGGACGAGGATGCTAGATACCTAACTCTTCGGTTTGACCGCAAGTTTGAGCTCAGACGAATGCACCTGGACGATCCACAGATTAGTAGGCTAAATGAGGAGTCTGTTGAGCTTATATCATATGTTACTAAAGGTAAGCAGGGTGTCATTATAGGGTGTCATTAGCAGGATTTCATCATTTTGATAGATATAACCGGATCATAATGACCCCCATGAGCCAAGTTATGGTCGTTATATTTCTAATCCAATTTTAATTTTAGGGGGGGGGGGGGGGGGTCTAACTACATTTTTGTACACTAATTTAGCGTACATTTGGAAAAATCTGATGGCCATGTACATTATGGTCATAAAAAATGTACAAAAAATCGGAAATCCCTGGAAACGGAACAGGAAAAAGAGGAAAAAACATATTCTGTACATTTTTGTACATGTACATTTGGCAAAAATCTGGTGGCCATGTACAAAAATGTAGTTGGACCCCCCCCCCCCCCCCCCCCATTTTAGTTAACAATATTTTGGGGAAGATTGCATTGGGGATGATTGCATTTGATGTCAATCACCGACAGAGAGGTCGCTGTTAAGTATTAAGATTGAAAAGCCTCTATCCAACTCCCAGGAAATGAAGAGTTCATTCTTGAAGACTGCTACCAGCGCAACGGAACGTACGTTATAAAGAGACTAAACACTGAAGAGGAGGTCTTTAGAGCAACGTTTGATGAGGAGGGCAAATATCTAACTCTTAAACAGAGGTATGTTTCTTCTCGTGGCGTACATTCGTTTTGAAACGTGATATAGCGTAAGCACTATGAGTTAAAAGATTTATATTCGAAGATAACACTGATTATGATTTCATCTATTCAACAGGCAGAAGGAAATCTTCAGCATAGACTCAACTAGTGAAGAAAAGGGATATCTGTCTGCATCAGCCAAGGGCAGCTTTGCACAGCTCAACCAATACAGCCGTCTTAAAAAGACGATAACGTAAGTAACAACATGATTATTCCTGTGATCTTCCTTTTTGATCGGTACCTTCTAGAAGTTTTTTAACGATTTAGGGACACCTGACAATTAGTACACAACTTGCAGTAAGAAGAGAATGAAGATAAAGTCAGTTACAACAGAAGGAGCCCGTATGTTGGACGCTATGAGTCCCACCATGAACCGAGCATTCCCTCCAGCCCCCAGTCCAACTCAAGCTCTCTCTCCCTCATCTCTTACACGAAGTGTCGCCTCAATGATGAGTATTAGATATGATAACAGGAGTCTGGCGGTCAAGAAAAACAAGCCACCCTCCAAGTATTATTATAGAATTCAGTTCAGAGAAGACAAGGCTGTAATGGCGTATTTTACTAATTTGGTCGATGAGGGTAAATGTGAGATATTCGTGACCCCTGATTCGAACAGTGCTTTGGTGGCTACTGTCGTGGGTTATTTTTATAGGAGGAAATCTAGAAAAAAGAGATCGACCTTCAGAAATCTTTTCAATTGGACTAGGTCAAGTAGTTATGGTCAGATGACCGATGGATGATTATTTTTGTTAGTGTAGAGACTCTCTGTTATAACCGTATAATTGTTTTCTAATAAAAAAGTATCCGAAATGTTGTGATTCACAAGCTCTTAGAATGAATTGACGTAATATGTTTTTCATTAAGTTTTTGTAAATGAGAGTTACTTGTATTTGTCTGCCCAAAACAAATCATCAATTGAATTGCGCGCGCGAATTAAACCGTGCTGCTAAAAGTGTTGAAAATTCATATTCCCTCCACAAGAAAAACGCGCGGAGTTGGCAATATATATTTACCAACAAATAATAAGCAAGTCTCGATGTAACATTACTATCATGGATCACAAGACTTACTCCGGCTTTGTTCCCAGTGCTTTGACAAAATAACAATACGCTCTGGGGTGTGTCTTTATAATTTACACTGACAAAGGAACCTAATTATGCCTTGTAGATGTTGGAAGTGTATTCTCAGTGTATTCACCTGCGAGTAGGAAATACCACTTAAATCACTGTTACACTGTGACAAAAGAACTAAATCAGGAATACACGGTGACTTGATGCGTGAAGGTGGTAGATTTGTAACTCACCCTGTCTTTCAGAGATCGTTTGGTTGGATAGTCGCATTGTTCTAAGTCAGGATTCTTATTAGCGTTAGTGCTACTGAAAAGAAAGTTGAGTAGCTGTCTTGTGATAATATAAGTAAGAATTGTAAAGTGATACTGATAAGAAACCTCGCTATTTATAACTTGTTCTGTCAAGAGAAAGTGAAATTAACTTTTTCATTTCTGTGGAAAGTAATAAGAATACATATTCATGATAGTTTTAAAACTTAAAACTAATTTTCTAAATTAAAACATAAAGTGTCTAAAACGAACATTACAAACTTATACCCAATACTCACTAGAGAAGGTGGTGAACAATGTCTGAAGAAATGGTCTGTACCTCCTCATCCTCTGCCATCATATCATCTATATCTTGTTGGACTGGTCTCTTCTTTCTCTGCTTGGGCATTCTCGCTGAGTACCTCTCCTGGAGAATAATAATGAACTTTTGTAATCATGATCATAGCGGACATAGCGGACCTACTTGCCCGTCCCAACTGACAGAGTGTTACAGAGGTGGGGTCGACAGAAATGTTTCACATATATTATGCTGTGGGTTATTAGCTGCGACTTCATAGGTTAATGATACACATAGAATAATTGAAATATGAGTTTATAGCAGGATAAAGCTTCATTGTCTTGTACAGCGTGGCTGAGTGTGTTATGCGATACCACTAATGTAAACAGGGATTGGCTAGTTAGAGGCGGTCCGTGTAGGCCTTACACTGTGCTTTCAGCAATACTCATAAAGCTTATGTTTATTAATGTGAATTATTACTCTATGTAATGACAGTAAGTTATAAATAAACAAAAGGCACACTTTATGTAAATTACAATAATAAGCTACCTGCTTAATTAGATTATTATCATATTTTCAACTCACCCTGTAAGAGATAATATTAATATTTTCACTTATAATACTCCTCTTTAACGTGTATTGTAGGCTAGGTGGCGTGATGGTGTTACATAGTAATATAGTCTAATCCCACATCCTCCTCCCATTATGCTGTTTTTTCTATTGAAATCTTTCAAATCAGTCAATTACATACAAGTTTACACAATGAATTAGTTAAATATAATATTGTCCTCTAAGCAAGGAATGTCAAAGTTGAAATTGTCTCGGACAAAATGTATGTAACCAAAGGACCTGAGGATCACCAAAACACAGATATTGAGTGCAAATGCAGCTCCTGCACAAGCATGGGCCCTTATAAAATTGTAATAAGTTACTTTAAACAAAATGTGTAAATAATCATCTGCCTAGTCTTAAACCCCTCTCCGATTTGTTTTTTAAACATGTCGTCAAGACAACACAGTGTTTATCAGGACACGTGACTAAATATTAAGGTTAGGAGATAACAATATGTATTATCTCACTATAACTCACACTAATCTCGGACCAGTTGCTGGCAGTATCATCAAACTCGTCGTCTCCATTATATTTATTATCCTCAGTCTCAGAGCTGCTGCACTGGAGGGTCTTGTATAGTTCCGGGTTGGAGGAGATCCAGTAACTTGAGTTCCTCGCTCCTGGGGGGTAATTAGATGATTAGATAAGTAGTTTAATAGTTAATTAGTGTACAACTTCAATTTACCGTACCTCTTACTTTTCCCCAAAATTTTAGAATCACGTGATCCTTTACTATGCGGGTTTTAAACGGGACTCTGATCTCAAGCAAATTTGTCAGGCGTTGTCACATTAACTAGTATTGTGCAGAGAGAAACTATGCGGAGAGAAACTATGTGATCCCACTGGAACTCAAGAATAAAAACTTCAAAGAGGAGTTTTAATAGCCCTTCAATTAGCAGTGGTACCACAGCCACCACTCCCCACCACCACCACTTACCCCCCCACCACCACCACTGCATTGCTTAATTTTGGTGAAAGTGACTTGTACTGACATATGGGCCGCTTTTTCCAGACTTCTATGATTAAGATTAATGGCGAAGCAAAGTGTGTGTATGTTTAAATGAAACAATAGGCACATCAACAGGTTCCACTGCTACTATAATACTATATACCCTGTATAATAGATCAGTTGATTAGTAGAACAAATGTGTAATTATCTGAGAATTCGTGTCGCCTGACTTGAAAAGTGCATCTATCTACAAAGTTGATTATATATTGCAATTATTAGGGTACGTGCACACTACTTCGGGCATTTTCCGGTTACCAACTTACCACTACCACAAGTCTTAAGATAATGTAATGATACAAGAATGGGTACTAGTTAGGGCAAGAATTGCTGTTTATGGGTCAATCTGTGAACAAATTCGTAACAAAGGTTTGTCTACAGGAATGTGTTGTCCATAGTCCCAGGAACCACAAAAAAAACCGTCCAGCTGAAACTTTTGGGCAAAAATTTTTATAGTCATTTTTCTCCAGGAACCCATACGCCCCACCCCTAATATTGGTTATTCGGCTCCCGAAGGTCTTGAGATCTGCATAGGGGGTGCAAAATGACCGCAATGGCCACGTTATGGGAGGCGAATGATAGTTTCAGAACGATTGGAGCTTTATTTTTCGAAATAAATGGAATTTTTCGAAATTTTTCTCAATTTTATTGAAATTTCGAAAAAAAATACACCAAATTATTTTTAACGCTTATTTCAAATCTATTTAAAAACTCATCTACAAATAACAAATACAGTTAATCTAAAATGTGTATTCTCAGTAAATACCATGACAATTATTAATACACAGTTAATATTAATCAAAATTCGCTTGTTCTTCAGGTTCATCATGTCTAATGTTTGTGCAGTTCATACCATGGCATCGTCCACAAGCTGGCAAACAATTGAAGCCATATTTCCTACATGAACATCTGAAAGTCAAACAGGCCTGTTCCACATCGACAGAACAGTTACAACATATAAGGTTCAAAATAGACTCTGGAGCAATTATAGCTTTTTTTGCAACTGGTTCGTAAGTGCCACCAGGAGCCAATTTCCAGCCGTAGTCAAGGGGATTCAGACTGTCAGCGTTAAGCATGACCCAGTTATGGTACTGTAAGTAAGCTCTAAGGATGTACTCCGTTGTTGAAGCTATTGTTGGAGGTAGCCTATTCGGATTGAGACTCTTTTTCGCTACCATCCTATTGTATGCTAGGAATCTCAAAGCAGAAAGAGTCTTTTTCTTGTCACCATAAATGTACTGCAAGAAACAGAGGCCTGCCTCAATAATCTTTTCTTTTGATTCTCTCACCGAAATTAATGTTGCCAACTGACCTTGCTCATCAAAGGTGAGAGCTTTCTTTAGCACTTTAACCTTGCTAAAACCAAACAGTCCACTGACGCTATCACAACCTGAAATACTATGAATTAGAAGAAGTATCTCCTTTTCTTTATGATCGAGATGACTTGATATTTCTTTGATTGAATATGTACCCTTCTTCGTTGTTAGATAAATAGCATTGTGATGGTCACTGTTGAAATGATGTACTAATAGACTTGAACTATATCGGTATCCTCTGCCTTCAATTCAACATCGCCAAGGAATGACATTTCCAATGTTTTCTTTGCAAATAAAGTATCAGCATCGTTACAAGCTCTGATCACTTCAATACCATTTACAGTAAAAATGCTTGAGATAAGGTCGATCAGTTCTTTTTTGTTATTGTTGTTGCTCAGAAATGTTGTTTTGGTGACAGTACAAAAGGTGGATTTCTTTACAGCAATATTAGCACAGGACGCTTTTACTCTCCTCTTGTGCTCGTGATCTTTAGTAGAAGGCTCATATCCATCAAAAATCACAGTAACTTCCCGATTTTTAGGGATAAGCTTCAAGTACTCCATTGCTACCTCACCATAATTGTCACACCCTTTAAATGAGCTTAGTTGGTGTATTAGCCAACCTCCATCAATGACTAGTGGGATCGTGAAGCTGCAAGATTTAGGTGTAGATTGGTTTATACGAAGAGCAGCCTTATTAGATTTCCTCATCATCTGATATTGATCAAATAAGCTCATCGGAACCACAGTTAACTCGTATGTTAGGCATTCCTCTATTGAAGTCTCTCTATCAGCAACCAAGACTAGACGGTTAAAACACTTCACGATTACGCATCCTTCCACTTGTTAATCCACCACTAGATTTAGCTGCCCTCATAAGACTCAACTCTATGGAGAGGTCAGTCCACACTCCGGCCCACTCGTGGTCGTTGTAACCGTGTGAAGCCCAATTACTTAAAGGTCTTTAAAAGCGCCCCATACTTGACTTTAAAAATAGCATCCTGCTCCAAATACAGTCTTAAAGCTTTTGCATACTGTCCCCTCCCAGCTGCTGCGAAGTAGGGCAGCATCAAAGCTACTGCTGATGAATGCATATTGCAGTCGTGCAACCTCTCTGCTCTTATGAAGTCCTTTACTAGTGTTATCATGTTGTGGTAAGTAACCCATAGAGCTGCTGTTCTACTGTTGGAAAACAGGTCCTTTAGAAGCAGAGTTATTTTCTCTGATAGATCCTGAATAGATTTAGTCTTAAAGTTAACACCTAGATTTTCGTTCACACATTTGTTGATGTAACCTTCCAAGTCTACTAGTTCATCGTCGTAAACTTCTTCCTCTATAATGAAACAACAAAGAGCGGCGTCGATCAGAAAGTGGGCTCTCAACGCTTTTTAGTAAGATCCTCCATCCGATATATGGCATATGCGTGACGTCTCCAGGATACACAAGTTTGATGAGCTCCTCTAAACCCGAGTCTGCCATTATATAGCCTATGCAGCCAAGAAAACTCTTGAGAGTGTGGAAGCCCCCAACCCTGACCACAATAGGCATCCCAGTTTCCAGTACTATTCGGGTGGCCTTAATCCACAATGGCAAATCGAATGTGATTATCATCGGCTCACTGTAGGAGTAGTATGTACCGTCGAATAGCTGTCTGGGGGTTGGTCAATAATCGGTTGTTTGTCAGTTAACCTTGATATTTGTTAATTGAAGTTATTTCCCGAGTAAGATTTGAAATAAGCGTTAAAAATAATTTGGTGTATTTTTTTCGAAATTTCAATGAAATTTCGAAAAATTTCGAAAAATTCCATTTATTTCGAAAAATAAAGCCCCAATCGTTCTGAAACTATCATGTGCCTCCCATAATGTGGCCATTGCGGTCATTTTGCACCCCCTATGGAGATCTCAAGACAATCGGGAGCCGAATAACCAATATTAGGGGTGGGGCGTATGGGTTCCTGGAGAAAAATGACTATAAAAATTTTTGCCCAAAAGTTTCAGCTGGACGGTTTTTTTTGGTGGTTCCTGGGACTATGGACAACACATTCCAGTAGACAAACCTTTGTTACGAATTTGTTCACAGAAAAATCAACTCTTGCCCTAACTATACTTCCATTAAATACACAGTACTTACTGGATAAAAGGAAGGCACTGGTCTTCGGTTTGATGGACAATCGTATTTGCTGCTTTCGTATTTCTTCCTCTAACAGGCGGACCAGGTTGCCGTTTTCCAATTTTTTCTCTTCTAGTCCCAGAAGCTGCTGTTTTATACTTTCTAATTTTTCTAGCTTTTCCTGCGAAAGTAATAAATTTAGTAATTAATTCAAAATGTAATACCAGAAGGAATTTGAGTGTACTAGAATTATAATAATTAAATGTTCAATCTATTTTTAAAAACTTACCGGAGAAGTAGATAAAAACTCTTCAGCTTTGCCACACAAAGTGGTATGTATCCCACAAATAGGCATATCTGCTCATCATTATCAAATTCTCAACAGATTACTGCTAGTTATGGTCCATGTTTTCCTAAAAGGTGAGAGTGTTTACTGTTTCTAAAGATTATTCTGTATGTTACAAAACTTGACTTCTCTTTGTCAAGATCCCCGCATACACAATTTGATACAGTGCAAATCAATATTAGCTGCAATAATATTAGTTCCCTGTAATGAAAGCCCAAATGAATCCCTGTAAACAACTGACCATTTTGAATGCAGATAAATGAATAAATATAATACTGTACTGTGTTGTAAATGCTTAATTATTATTGACAAACTGTGGATTGCAAGCCTGTATCATTAGTCAACTATAACAAACATTGTGCTGTGCAGTATTGAAATAACTTCAGCATTCGAAAAAAACCTAATTTATTGCCCCATGATTCATATCAAACTCTGATTTATTACAAGCCCTGCAACAGCTCTCTCAACTATTCGACCGGCCTGCTGATAAAGCCGTGTTAAAGTCTCTGTTTATTTCTTGACAATATGAAGGACGAAGGTGGACCATTGGGGTCCTAATGAATTTAGCACCAAGGACATCTTGACAACCCCTATCAAGATTGCTGAGAAAGTGCGGTGAGACTGGATTTTGGGCATTTGAAAGTGCGATTGTCACGTGTCACGGGGGGGGGGGGGGGGATTTTTGGCCTCGTTCAGCATACCCTGTCAAACTGCAGTGTAACTGCACGAAATTCGCCGCTTGTATTGTAGTCCAAAAACTAGTACTAGAATTCATTCCTTAAAAAGTTAAAACAAGTATTTCAAAAATTGTTCCAGATCCTTCCTCCTTGCGCCCTTTCTCATTCTGAGAGTGAAACCTACTGTACCCATATTTTTCAAAATTTACAGGAATTAATCCTTTGATATGACCCTTAAATTGAGAAATTGGCACAAGAAAATCTTGCTTGATTTATCATTTCACTGAATCACCTGAAATTATTTCGAGAGAATACGATATGCTCAAACTAAACTAATTTTGCTAGAACTACTTGCACGCCCTAATATGCATTCAAAATCGTATTAATCGATTTTTTATTGAAACTGTGTTTGAAAATTATCTCTATCGCCAAATTTTTCATTGCAAAAATAAGTATCAGTAAAACGATCTTTGACGGGTCTCGAACCGCCCATGGCTGGCAGCGATAATCGGCTTACCGGTCACGCCACAAAATATATAGGTGATATAATATTTGTGTATATATATTCGCGCGTTCATGCTAATTGCTTGATTCGAAAAACTACTCCTAGATTAAGTCCCGAGAATTTCCACAATATTTTTCATTGAAAAGTTACCTTCTGCAAAAGGCCAATGACCAAGTAAATAGTTGATAATAGTAAATAGCCAATAGCTCTATGTTTATTGTTTACAGTATGCACTGAAGGGGTACGGGTATACGTATCCTAGGAAGTTTCTTGATTTTTAACAGGTACCCATTCTCATTTAACCGTAAATTAAGTTTCCTATCATTCGGTTGAGTCAACTGGGGAGATCGCATAGATTCAATGGATCCTTAGCTACTCCATAAACTAGGTGACACTGTGATTCGAACCCTGAACCTTCTGCGCAGAGGATGGGTGCTCGATCTAACCACTAGGCCACCAATAATGCTGAAAAAAGCATACCTTAGACTCGCACTTAAACTCGCGTCATCACGAGTTTAAGTGCGAGATTTATGGGAAACTCACCAAAATCTCGCCGAATCTCGCGCGCATTACGTCGAAGTTTTCACGCTATAGACAAGTGATAAAATACACGTTAAGTGTATAAAATACACGTTAAGTTCCTAATTATTGTGTCCCTCAACTTTTAAGTTAAACTTTTTCTGTTTTCTCATTTATTTACAAATTTTGTGCGATGAGTCTAGCTCGCAATCTCGCATGAATCTTGACCTGGGCTTGACAATCTTGATTGTGATTATCTTTGTTGCGGGAGCCTCTGTGGGAGCCAATTCTGTGGGAGCCAATAGATAAGTGTACCTGTAGTGTGATCTTTTAAATAACTGCTCTTGTTTACTCTACAGTAATTGAATGCAGACGGTGCCGCCATCAGGTGATCCGGCGGCAACATGGAGCTATTTTGGCTTAGGGGTGGACGCGTGAACATAGCTTGCGGTGTGCGAAGTTTTTCAACTCTGTGCATCAATTAATATAATATGCATTTTCATACAAACTTACTTTTAAATGATTGGGGCAGATCACTCAATACTTTAAAAATTAAAAATCAATCTTCAGTCGGTAAATTTGAGAATATTGAGTATTTTCAAATTTTGAGGTTCCTATTATAAGGATGGGGCTTGGAATCAAGAAGGCAAATTCGTGGACAAGAACCGTTAGAGTCTGGGTGGTAATAATTCTATCAATAAACCATGGAATGCGTGGATAATTAATTTGCTCTGGAGAGTGGGTACTCTTCCCTACAGCCGTAGATTGGAAATCCTCAATTTGACAAAGCTGGCAGAGCGGCGAATACGTGGGGACCTCATAGAAGCTTTTAAAGTAACGTTTAAAGTGGTTTAACTGATTATGGATCGGGATGTTTAGAACTGGCAGATCCGGTCTTAACCTTGTTTCAAGCAATAGATGTATAGTAGAAGTTCAACTAAAATCAAGAATATCCAGAAGTCTTTTCTCCCAGAGCGAGTTATTCCATAATATTGGAACAAACTCCCTCCAAACGTCAAGAACTCTGCGACAGTTTTAGGTTTTAAAATTAAATTAGAATAATATATTGTATTTGATATATACTTAATGTTGGTGGGGAAATATTTATCATATTATACTATTTTGTCACATAGTGCGATGATATTTTGTAGACATGTACTGTGTGATGATGTGAAGTCATAAATTTTACTTTACTCTACTTTTACTTCACATATTGTTTATCTAATGTTACTGTAACACGACTGAACTGTTCTTATACAACGATTTTCTGATATTCCAGAATCCTGTGCAACTTACAACGTTATAATTTCAGAGCCATGTAGTCCCAGAAACTGTGATGGAAGTGTATTGTTTTGACTATAGATCTCTCAGTAAAGAGTGCAGCGAGGTGACCTGCACCTCAGCAACCGAATTTTTTTTCCGAATTTAATGAACCCGAGTGTATGTAATCCGTCCGGCCAGGTACTAAAACAGTGAACATGCTGAATATCCATCTCTGCAAAAGGATTACTTAACTCTTCATAACCCCAGGATAGTAAAGTTCTCATCACAACCTTGACCATTGTTATTAACGGGTGATATTCGTAAAATATCTGTTCCATATATTGGACCGTCGACAAGTCCAACTCCGCGCGCGTCCTGGTAGGTTGTAAACCTACATGCTACAACCATTGTTAATGGTCTGGCCCGGCGCGCGCTACTTCGAAGAAATTTAGACGAGTAACATCCCTCAATCACAACCAAGCAAAGGGGGTTTTTATGTTATGTATTGCTATCATATTATATTGCTATTATATTAAACACTCGTTCAGCGGTAAAATGTGATTCCTTGATGTCAACCTTTTGGGGGAGCTGTGAACAGTAAGCAAGTACAAAAAGCAAAAGAATGTTTTTCTTAACTGTCACCAAAATGTAACTGTCACCAAAATGTAACAATAGGTCGAACGGAAAAATTAGGTCTCACGCGCAAAACCTAATTTAGGTCTCGAATTAGTGATTAGGTCTCACGCGACGGTACGCAGACGCATGATATAGGATGATGATTAATCACTCTACACTCGACTGTCACGTGACTTTTTCAACCCGTTCTCTTGCTGGCCCTGAACGACTTTTCGAAACCCTAACCCTCTTATCTGCACTGATCCGAACCCTAACCCTAACCCAATCCCTAACAAAAGCATATGCTGAAACCCTAACCCTAACGAGAAATTCGACCAACTTCCTTATACGGTCATATCACGTGATCAAGACAATTTTTCGCCAATATCTCGGCAGGGGAGCATTTTAACCCTATGTCATGGGGGTGATTCTGAATTAGCGTCCAAAATTACACCGATTCACATCAATTTCATACCCAACGGGCCTTTTTACAAGAATTTTCTTAAAATTTGGGCGAGCGATTTAGTAGGAGCGAATTTAGCACGCTTGCATGATATACATGTAAATACACTTAAAAGCCGCGTCTGTGTGAGACCTAATTCATAATTATATTTGCGGGACCTAAATCTAAATTGGGTCTAACTCGTGAGACCTAATTTCTCCGTTCGACCTAGGTACATTTTGGTGACCGTAATATTAAAATCTTTCAACAAACTAGTCAATCAATATTTAATAAATATTAAAATTATTCGCGAGACCTATACTAGTTACATTTTGGTGACAGTAGGCTTAAATCCCAAAAAGCGAGATGAAAGTGGTGCGCGCTTGGCGCTACTTCGAAGAAATTAGACGGAATATCATCTGACGATGGAGTGCCATATTCAATATTAGTGTCATTAGACCATTTCAGAATCCAGAAACGAGCCTTATGATATTGTAAAGAATATCACCAGAAAAGATTGACGGATGTTAATTGTCTAAATTTCATCGAAGTAGCGCGCGCCACTTTCTTGTTTCTTCTCGAGGCTAGTGCTACGAAGTAGCGCGCGCCGGGCCAGTCCATTAACAATAGTGAATAGAGAACAGAAAATACAAAAAACTCCACTATGCACTAGTGCAGCTGACACCAAATTGTTATCATACGTTGCATTTACCTGGGGACCTCAGGCTATCATGTTCATAAACATAAAATAGAGATTAGGCGGAATGACAGGCTGAGCGCAGCCCAGTAAAACGTTGTATTACGTCGTGATCCCCCATGCACTGTCGCTTCACTAGTGAACTCTACCCCTGTAACGATACAGGGGAGCCACTCGTGCGCGGCGGGTCATACAACGTATGACAACTATATCATATATAATTATTTTCAATGCAGGAATTTTATAATTTTATTTGAAATTTAAATGTCTAAGTTAATTGACGATGTCAATTCTTCGCAGCTCGGTGAGGCCAAGTATTGTAGCGCGATGCACTACTGGGCCGCGCCGCGCATCT